CATATTCTACAACTTCCTAGCACAGCCAAAAATGGCAGAGAGCCTTGTTGATTCATTAAAAACATTCTTATTATAACCAAGTAAAATAACACAAAACAATTCAAAGCAAGCTCTCACAATCACCAGAATTCCAGCAAAGCCGAAAACTGGCCAACTTCGTCATCCTAGCTCTAAAGCAGTGATGGCCAAACTTGGCCCTCCAGCTGTTTTGGGACTACAACTCCCATCATCCCTAGCTAGCAGGACCAGTGGTCAGGGATTGTGGGAATTGTAGTCCCAAAACAGCTGGAGGGCCAAGTTTGGCCATCACTGCTCTAAAGGCTGTGTATGAGTTTCTAACAAGCCCTCAAGATATGGCTATTTTAAAAAGCTCCTCGTCTTTTTGTTCTTTGGTTTTATCTATATTTATGTAGCTTGCTAAATAGGTTTGATCAAGCAATGCAAACACTGGGTGATATGACTTGCTTGTCTCCTACAGGTATTCTTACTGCACCCAAGTATCTACACATCTTCTCTCTTGGTGAGAATATCACTAAGTGGGATGGAAAGAGAAATGCCTTTTTTGTTTGTTTGGGTGCTTGCATGCAGAACGGTCCCCCTCCAAACCTGGGGGTTCTTATTTGGTGCACCCAAGACAGACAAGCCGTAGAAAGCACACACCAAACGTTGGATTCTGTGCATGTTGGAATGACAGAATCTTGCTTTGGAAGTGCAGCCTACAGTATATAGGAAAGCCCATTGGTATGATGGTTGCATATTACCGTATTTTTCGCTCTATAACACGCACCCGACCATAACACGCACGTAGTTTATAGGGGAGGAAAATCCGTAGGCATGCCACCCGTAGGCATTTCCTCCATAACACGCACAGACATTTCCCCTTACTTTCTAGGAGGAAAAAAGTGAGTGTTATGGTGCAAAAAATACGGTACTTTCAGTATCTTTTCCCTCCCCACTTTATTGTATGATGTGTTGATCTACACTTTGGATGGAAGTGGATAGTTGAAAATGTTTAGTTATTTTATTGCTGGGTTTTACGGATCTGTATTATAGATGTGTTGAGAGACATTTTTGCCTAAAAAGTGGCCGAAAAGTCAAATAAAAGTCACAAAGGCACCTCTGCCAGCCACATCTTATTTTTAATGGGATAATCTTATCATAACTGAAAGGAATCATAGTTAGATATTTTGGAAAATGCAAGTAGAGCTAAGACTGGCTGGGCTGGCATCCATTCTTTGGATGATTAATGAGCAAATGATACTCACTTGTATTTGATATGGAAATTGGTTCAGGAGATCAATTGGAAAATTACAGCTTTATGTTTATTGCTAGTTTGGGCTGGCTGCAACCCAGGGGCTTTCCACAATGACACACTCATTGCTCAGTCACGCACACTGTCTCTGGGCATGTACAGAATTCCACACTGTCTCTGGGCATGTACAGAATGAACTGAGCTACTCTGTAACAATTCTCATTTTAACTACTCTTTCAGATGGAAGGGTTTGCAAGTGCATTGGGATTCTGTGAGCTGATCACTGTTAATCCAAATAGGCAGGCAGGATCAGCATGGCTGACACAGCAGCTGTGGTGAACAGTCAACCAAAACAGTGCCACCCCCATACGGTTAATTTTCACCTTTCCCCCTTTACTTTCCTGTTTTGGTAGCATAGCTACAGTGGAAGCTGCCATCTGAAAGCACCCTGATTTGCTTATCAGTTTTCCTTGGCATGCGGGAGGATCAACCAGGGACAATGTGGGTGCTTGCAAAAGGCCTACAACAGACTCTCCCCGAAACCTTCCTTATGAAAGCCTTGCAGATTCTGATCAGCTGAACTGAACTGAATTTCTGAAATGATGGAGAGAGCTTAACCACGAGCCCAGGTCCAGATGTCACACTAAGCCAAAACTTGCTTTAGCTCAGCGTGGTTTGGGAGTAAAAACAAACAACCAAGGAGAATGAAAGCAGCAACAGTGGTTGCTGCCACTGTCCACTTACTTCCAGTAAGGCATAGTTTGGCTTAGTATGTCATGTGAACCAGGCCTCTCTCTCTTTCATCTTTGTCTTATTTGCTCAAATGTGCAAATATTTGCTTAGAACTCTCATACATATCAGTGGAATTTGCTTCCAAATAACTGATATGGATCACTGCCTGAGGTACCCAGATGTACCCTGTGGTGCCCTCTTGTTACTTCCTCAGTCTTGCTGGAAGGTTGTGATCAGCTTGTAGCAGGTGATAAAATGTGTCATGAACTTTCTGTGTTGGATCAGACCAGGACTGATTTGAGATAGTGTGAATGTGCTGTAAAACAATGGGTGGGGAGAAGGTGGATTGAGATCTGCTGTTGGACCTCCAGGAGTTTCTGATTCCCAGGAAGTCCTGAGTTCAAATCTATTTTTGACACAGCCACAAACACATTTAAGAAGCATTACATAAGACCAGTGCCTGATTTATGTATAAGCTAAACAAGCTATAGCTTAGGGCCCCACTCTCTTGAGGACCCCCCAAAAATATACTTCTTCTTAATTGTATTTCAGTTCAACAATTACCGTATTTTTTGCTCTATAAGACTCACTTTTTCCCTCCCAAAAAGTAAGGGGAAATGTGTGTGCGTCTTATGGAGCGAATGCAGGCTGCACAGCTATCCCAGAAGCCAGAACAGCAAGAGGGATTGCTGTTTTCACTGCGCAACGATCCCTCTTGCTGTTCTGGCTTCTGAGATTCAGAATTATTATTTTTTTGTTTTCCTCCTCCAAAAGCTAGGTGCGTCTTGTGGTCTGGTGCGTCTTATAGAGCAAAAAATACGGTACTTTGATAAAATACATATTCTGTTATGTGCAAATGGCTTTGGATACCTATTAGGTCCATAAATTACCATATAGCATATATTCAACACAAAAAACAGTGACAACTTGTTGTTGACAAAGGACAACTGGACACATAAAGGGCCCCATCACCTTCAGGAGCTTAGGGCCTCATCAAACCTAAATCCAGCCCTGGATAAGACATCATTCTCCCTGACACTCATCTGTAACTTGGGGATAATGATTCTAGACTACCTTACAGGGCTGTTGTAAGGATTACTGTGATAATGTATGGGAAAGCCTGAAGCATGCAGTATAAATGTTAGTGGTATTAGTGTTGCATTGAGGTTGTTGTTTTTAAAATCATTTTTATTTGGGGGGGTTTTAAAAAACAATATCTGTAATCATTACATTACATTCAAATTTCATTTCCCCCCTTCCCCACTGACTTCCCTCAACTTCTATCCCTGGTTTATTACATGTCATATTACATTCTGTTGTTTATATATACTTCTATATTGTCCTACTATTAGCTTTCTTATTTTTTATAAGCAAAATTTCAAATGTTTATTTAAGTCCTACCAATGACTCTATCTTTTGTTGTTGTTTCTGCAAATACAATGTAAAAGGTTCCCATTCTTTTTCAAAATCACTATTGTCTTTTTCACACAGTTTATCTGTTAACTTTGCCAACTCTGCATAGTTCATCAACTTCTCTTGCCATTGTTCCTTTGATGGTATAGCTCCAGTCTTCCAGTTCTGTGCTATCAGAATTCTTGCCGCTGTCATCGCATACATAAATAATGTCTGTTTTTCTTTTGGCAGTTGACCTAAAATTCCTATCAAAAAAGCTTCTGGTTTTTTAATCAATGTCATTTTAAATATTTTTTTTCAATTCATTATATATCATTTCCCAAAAGATTTGAATATTTTTACACTCCCACCACATATGGTAAAAGGTACCTTCCCCTTTTTTACATCTCCAACAATTCCTTTGTTCTGTTTTATACATTCTTGCCAATTTTGTTGGTGTAACATACCACCTGTACATCATCTTCATATAATTCTCTTTTAACAATATACAATCCGTAAACTTCAAGTCCACTTTTCAAAGTTTTGTCCAAACATCAAATTGTATATTATGCCCAATATCCTGTGCCCATTTAATCATTACTGATTTAACTTCCTCATCTTTAATTTCTCATTCCAGAAGTATGCCATATGCCTTTTTTAACAGTTTAGAGTTATCATCTATAACATCCCTTTAAAATCTGGAAACTGTATAGGCAAATCATTTTTTATTGGCCTCTTTAAAAATTTCATTCAGTTGTCTATGGTGCAACCAACTCTGTAAATATTCCTTTATTTTGTCATGCTCTTTCAATTTTAATTTTCCTTCCTGTTCAATTAATAGTTCTTTATAGGTTGGCCCTCTTCCTTCCTTTGAGGAATATCCACCACGGAGTTTTAGGTTCCAGTAACTCTTTATATTTTCCCCAGACCTTTAATAGGGACCTTCTTATTATGTGATTGTGGAATCCTTTATGTACCTTGCTGAAATTGCACTTGCTGGCCAATAGCCTACCAATGGAGCGCTATCTGTCCACCCCTGGATTAAGAGACAGAAATATAGTGTTAAAGTTGGGGGGGGGGAATTATTACGGTAAAAGCTGCCTCATTGCCATAATATTTTCTTCAGTCTGTATTCCTTCACGAGCTTGTGGATTGTTGGGTTTCTCAAATTTACAAAAAGTGAATCGGAATTTTGAAATAAGAAAGAAGAAAAAGCCTTTTGCTTGTTCTAAGTGTGATGAGTTCAAATGTGAAAAGATTCCCACATGTATTCTCATCTTTTTAACTTGGCCCAATTGACACAATGAAGCAGCCATAACAGCTGGTACCTGAGGTGGAACTGTGGAAAAGATGTTAACATGTTTAGCTGAACTCGTCAGCAGAATTTTTTAGAACAGGGCCAAAATTTATCCAAATATATTTTTCTGAGGAAAACTTTATTTTTCTCGCTCTCAACTCTTAGAAAAAAAAGGTTGTTTTGCCAAACATTTTCTGAATATTCATTACCATTTTTTTGTGGTGGTCACAATTCCTCACCACCATCACAATGTCCTGGAATGATCCCAGGTCCAGCTCACTGTGAAGAGAACATAACGGTGGCCAGGCTTCCAGTGCAGTTACCACAACAGCAGCAAAACAAACCTTAGAAAAAAGGAGGAAAGAAACTGTGCTACTGCCACCACAAAGATCAAACTTCACCCACAAAGAAAGTGGAAAATTCCTCCTCCTCTGACAGAATATTTGGTGAAGTGATTCCCGCCATCGCACACAATTTTGGCACTGGCAAATAAGGTGGAGAATTTCAGGACAGCCTTTCCCCTCTGCTTTATAATTTTTCTGCTGAAGTAAGTGAAGATGCGCCAAAATGTGAGTTTCAGGATTAAAAATTTGAGTTTGAAATTCAAATGAAGAAACTGGATTCCAAACATTGCAATGCAGATTGTGCTCTACTTCTGCTTTTTAAATATGAATTTGCAGATTCACAGTGCTCAGTACTAACAATCTGGAGGCTTTGTAGAGACATAAAAAGGTAAAGGACCCCTGACAGTTAAGTCCAGTCACAAACAACTCTGGGGTTGTGGCGCTCATCTCGCTTTACTGGCCAAGGGAGCCAATGTTTGTCCACAGACAGTTTTTCTGGGTCATGTGGCCAGCATGACAAAACCGCCTCTGGTGAAACCAGAGCAGTGCACAGAAACACCGTTTACCTTCCCACCGGAGTGGTACCTATTTATCTACTTGCACTTTGACATGCTTTCAAACAGTTAGGTTGGCAGGAGCTGGGACCGAGCAACGGGAGCTCACCCCATCACAGGGATATGAACTGCTGACCTTACTATCCACAAGCCCTAGACTCAGTAGTTTAGACCACAGCGCCACCCACCATGCTTTGTAGAGACACAGAAGCTCCCAAATGGAGTGACCACACTAATACACATTTCAGAAGCCACAGGAGATCTTCTGATTTACTTCCCCCAAACACCTTCTGTTGGTTACTTGTCTCTGATGCCATAATTTAATGTACAGTAAACATGCCCTTCATAATTTCATGGGGGCACATCACAGCACATTTCCTGGGGGAGGCTCATGTAGACAGGGAAATGGCCATGTGATGAGGAAATAGCAGGTGTTGACATGTGTTAAACATGATGGAGGGGATGGAGATGAGTCTTCGCGAAGAGAGCATTTCCATAGACCTCTTTCACCTCTCTCATTGTGAAAGCAACCTTTTCATTGTTCCCTCTGAAAGTCAATTTAAAAAAAGAAAAAGATATTTTGCAAGGAGAGAATTTTCCAGAAGTTGTTTCCTAGCCTTGGGGAGGTTGACCAAAGCCTTAGCTCAAGCTTCTATAGAGTTTACAAAAGGAGAAATGCAGTGACTGTGGAGAAGTAGGAAGTTCTTACAGTTGTATATTTTATATTTTTGTTTAAAAATAACATTCATCTGACTGTAGCTATAGATGACACACACACACACACACACACACAGCTTTAGAAACGTAACTTTTTCTGAGACTTACCAAACAGGAAAGGTGATAATCCTAAATCAATATTGGTGTGGTCAGTCGGAGAATTCATGTGTTTGAGACCAGTGCTTTTTATTTATTTGGCTTTGTTTCTAAAAACCTGGGAGGCATTCTGGATTTTGCTGCGTTTTGTTTTTTAAACCAGGAAACATTGTAAACCTTTCAGTCCCCGTTGGACATGGCAATGCCTTAGGGAAGACCTCTACGAGCTCCTAGGCTTAAGAGCTGCCTTGGGTGTAACAATGGCTTATTGTAGCAGCGCGGAAAGAATGTGAGCAAAGGAGCTGCTACGGGGTGTGGCCAGGTGAGAGCAGCCAGCCCTCTCTACCTGCTCAGGTGGCTTAGCTTTTAAAGAAGCTGAAAAGTTAGCTCAGCAGACGAGCACCTGCTGGAGCTCTGTGTGCTGGGTGGTAGCTGAGCAAAGTGGAAATATGTTTTGCTAGAGGGAGCGTTTGTAGACACGCCGGAGAAGGCAGCAGTCAGGATGAAGAAGAATCACTCTGTGCAGGGGACTATTAGCAGGCTCTTCGGGAAAAAACATGCTAGCAACAATTCCACCACTTCCCTCTACGTCACCAACCCCCCTTGGATCTTCACACAGGAGGTCACCACTGACAACCTGGCAAGAACTGGTCAGTATGGCTTCTCTTTTGTTTTGAGCTTTCAGGGAGAGGACTCGGAGGAGCCTGTTTGCCCTTCCACTATCCACCCCACCCCCAAATCAGGCTTCAGCTTGTAGGATGTTCAACTGTGGGGGGCTACCGGCACACTCAGAGGTGGGGTGCGCAGTTTTGATGTTGCTCTGGATACTTCCATCGGGGCCTTGAGAAAGCTTTATTAATAAGCCGTGCAGTCGGAAAACAACAGCCTTTGGTAGGAATGACTGGATTAAGGAGAAACTTGTTGGAACCTGCAAAACTAAATTAGCAGCCTGTGATCCACTCTCTTAAAAAAAAAAAAAACAACCCAAGAAGAATGTGCAGATTTCAGCAAGTCTCCTGTAGAGCAGGAATATGGGTGTAATGGAGCGTAAGACAAGTAGCAGATCCACCAGACAGTTGTAAATAAATCTCTGACATATTTTTGTGCGGGAGATTAGAGTTAGCTTTGACTGAAACCCAAAGGGAGCTTTTACGGGGATATCTGGTAGGTCTCTCTGGTGTTGACAGCAGCAGATGTGTTTATTCGGCATATTGTATTTATTCTCTTGAAGTTTGTAATTCTGGAACAACAAACTGGAGGCTCAGATGGGTGGGTGCCAACTCTGAATAGTGTCTGAACAGGCTGAGCGTCAGAAATCCCACACAAGAGCTGTTGGAACAAATGGAGGGTGCGCAGCCGAGTTCTTCATAGATGGTGCCTTTGGAGGCCACCAGTGTTGCGAAACTTGTAGCTGTTTTATGGTTCACGCTAGGCAGTGGCACTGACTTTGTTGCAGTGTCCGGGACTGTGACATTTCAGATGAAAGGGAGACCTAAGTAATAATAAGGGAGAATCAAATTCTCTGGGATGAAATGAAATGTGAAGCGTTGCCCTTTGGCTTGCTTCTAGTTCAAAGAATGAGTCACTTCTTTGCTGTGGGGGGGGGGAGTTACACAGTTTTTAATTAACAAGTTGTGCTCCAAGTCTGAGGCAGTATCTGCCAACACTGGAGCTCTTCTAGGTGCTAAAGTTAGGAATAAGCTTCTTTCTGGTATCTGATCTTATAGGACGCTTTGCAGAATCTCAGAGCTCTGTGTCCAGGAATTCCCATGTGGTGGGCAAAGACTGAATGATAATGATAATATTGCACCCTCAGGATTTATCTGTTGCTCTTCTTCCTGTTCTCTGCTGCTGTTCTTGTTTCCCGTCTGCGCACGCTTCCTTTTTCTGGGCTGTGGGTGTCCTTTGGGTTACGAAATAAACATGCAGAAACCTAAATATTGTTTAATCAAGACAAGATAGGCCTTGTTACACAAGGCAATGAGAAGCTGTCATTTCAGACAGCAGATTCCAGTGGGGTGCAGCATTTTCCCGAGTTCCATCTCTGTGACAAATGTCATTCTAAAATAAGTTTGAGGGGGATGGACCAATTGGCCCAACAATAACTGCAAAAACAAGAAGTGTGGGGTGGTTCTGTCTCTATTGGATCAAGAAGCCTCAGTTAGGGTATGCAATGTCAACCCTGAAAGAAAGAAAACCATGTGAATAGATTAAAAACCGTGTACATTCAGCATTAGTTTAATAGCAAAAGCAATGAAGTAGGAGCAATTTTGGGAAGGGCTGCAGTTCAGCGATAGAGCATTGGCTTTGTAAGGAGAAGATCCAAAGTTCAATCTCCAGACAGGGCTGGGAATGTTCCCCCTCTTAAATCCTGGAGAGCCACTGCCAGTCCGTGTAGACAGTATTGAGCCAGATGAATCTCACTCAGGAGAAGACACCTTCCTATGCTCCTATGACAGTTGTTTTAAATGGTTTTTAATATTGTGTTTTAAAGTTGTAACCTGCCCTAGGACTTTAGAGTGAAGGGCAGGAAACAAACAAAACATTGGGCCCCCTTAGTAAATGGCTTATAAGGCATTATTTTAGCTCATTTGATTTTGGATGGTCTGAGTTCACCTTCCTCAGCCTGCTGCTATTCATGTGTTTTGGACTCCAGGCAGTGCAAGGCAGCATGGCCAAGGATGTGGGATAATAGGAAATGTAGTCAAAAATCTTCTGAAGACCACCAGGTGAGGGGAGTCTGCCCTGAGCGATATCTTTGTGTTGTCCTCCACGCCCTTGGAGAACGTGCTGGTAAGCTTGCCATATGGTCAGTTCAAATAAGAAATGTGGCTTTCTCCCACCTTCCCTGGAGTCCATCTCATGAAGAACATTGTACAAAAAAAATTTGCTCCAGATGGATTGTGTGTGGACACAATCTGCAGTGGCCAACAGTCTCCCCACCACCATCCCGCCATCTCAACAGCTGCCAAAAGTTTCTACCACCCTGCCATTATGAAAATGGCTGCTAGTCACAATGGACTGTATCAATGCAGTTTGATATGCAAGATTGAGTTGGGGAAATAAACTGTCAGAACCCATTTGTATCAACCAGCCTACAGGTACATCCCCAAATCCGATCACCAACATATTCAAAGCCAAGCAGTCACCTGCTGGGATATTAACAAATGGTCCCACTCTGTGCCAACAGACTCACTCTGTGGCTTTTGAGTAACTTAACACCTTTTGCCCCCACTCTCAAACAAATCCGTGCTCTCACTCTGAGTGGTTTGAATGGTTGCCAACACCCACCCAGAGCAAGAAACCCCCACCCCTTATCCAGTCAAAACAGAGCAAAACATGCACATAAAAGGGAGAGGGTGTCTGTGAGGATGGCTCTGGCCAGCGGCCACCTGTGATTTGCTGTGGACCACTGTGGGAAAATTATGCAGAACTGTCCCAAGTATGTACTGACTTCTACAGAGATACCTTGAAGAACCTCCCAATTTGAGGAGCACCAGTGGGTCAAGATAGCACTGAGGTTACCCTAGGCCTGTGTTATACAACCACCTTAAATGTTTGCTGCATGCTTTTCATGCTGCATGGGCTAAAAGAGATTGAATGCTTTAATCCCCACCTTAGTTTGTGTCTGATGAGTTGCAAAGTAAACACAGGTTACCCAACCGGAGATGGGTGTGGGCTTGTGTGTGTCACTGACTCAGAGATTCCTGAATCTAGTCCCTGGCCCCGCCCTCTCTGCTACACCTCCCTTAAAGCTATGGATGCAGTTGGCATAAAGAGAAAGCTACACCTCGCATGAGCAATGCAGCAAATCATAGAGTTGGAAGGGTCATGTAGTCCAGTGTTCTGCAACACAGGAATCTTTTGCCCAACATGAGGCTCAACTCCACAACCCTGAGATTAAGAGTGTCATGTTCTACCAACTGAGCTATACTGACACAACATAGATGTACACCTACCCATTATTTCACCATTTTTTTCTTTATATCCTCAACAAGCAACAAGCAACAAGCATAACTGTTTGTTACCTCCTCTCTCCAAGTAACAATTTGGGCATTGTGGATGTTTATTGCTGAGGATGCTGCTCAAATGTTCCTTTTAGGGCCAAAAACATTTACTCTTTCATTTTTAACCATGACTGTATGGGGAAGGGCAATTTTAGAGTTTTCAGAATGACTAGAAGCACGTTTGGAAAAAAATCAGGCATTTAGGTAATAGTGACAGTTCAATGGCTTTGTGTGGACACTGGGGGGGTGGGAATGCAGGATTGAGGAGAACCCAATACACAATAAACAGCTATCTGCAAGCAAACTAGGAAATAGTGAAAGAGTAGATGTGAATCCCACTTTCCTAACAAGGTCGATTAGCATTTTCTACTGGTGCTGTGCAACTTCTCTGGCTGGATCACAAACCAATTCAGGCTGATTTGGGTTGACCCAAGATTTGGCCAGAGTGGACTGAAGAAAGTCCGGGTTGGATCCTGTCTGTCATGAAAAAGCTAAAGCATTGTATCAGCTTTTGCAGCTGTGAAAGGAAGGGACTAATGCATCTGAGCTTCAGCCACTTCCTTCTCCCCTACTCAACTGCATGTTTAATCAGTTGAAAACTGTGCCAGGCCCCCTATCTAGCTCAGGACCCAGATCTGGGTTGGGCCTGGACCATCCCAAATCAGATCAGTAACAGATCAGGTCCCAAATAGGATCAGAGGGCCATGCACAGCCCTACCCTCTTAGTTCTAATAATTTTGAAATAATTTTGGCAGTGACAGTGTGGGGTAAAACTAACTTGTTTTTCCTTGCTTCAGAGGGTAGGACTAGAATGAGTGGAATGGAAAAGGAAAGGGACTAGATTTTGGGTGCACTTCAGGAGAAACAGCAAGAGCTGTTTGGCAATGGAACTGACTGCCTTGGTGGATACTGGGCTGTCTTCCTTCCTTCCTTCACCAAACCTTTATTAGGTCATGTAGGCCATCATAAAACATCCATATTATATATATGTGTGTGTGTGTGTGTGTGTGTGTGTGTGTGTACACAAAGAAACAGCCATGTAAAAATATGAAATAACCAGGATTTTCATGGGAGTTTCTTCCTGCTAAATAGTGCCACTTACCACTCTTAGCGATACTATTGATAAAAACTCAGCCACCCTTGCAGTTACTTCCGGATTAATGTCAGACAGATAGAATCTGATATTTTCATTGTGCCATGATGTTAGACTACCCAAAAAAGGGGATAGCACATGTTTGCGTAGCTGGTTGTACAATGGACAGTGGAAAAGAATATGTTCTACTGTGGCCGGCGTATTCAAAGAACATCTGCAATGTCTATCATTTCTGGGGATGTTTAAATATCTGATGTTGGGCTGTCCTTTGTTGCACGTATTTAAGCAGAGACTGGTTGGCTGTCAGTCAGGGATGTTATCGCGGCAAGATTCCTACACAGGCAAGCGATTGGACAGGATGATTTCCAAGGTCCCTACTCTAAAAAAAATAATTCCATGATTCTAAATAAATGTGTCCTGTCCTCTGTGTTCAGTGTTTATGCATAAAACTGGAATGTGAGGAATAATAAGTGAAATAGGGTCCTACCAAATGGTCATACTAATGAACTGAGAGCACAGGGCACATTCACTTATTTATTTATATCTGAAAGAGATATGCCCACACTTTTAATGACAATCACCATTCCTAGTGAAACTATCAAAGTCATTGTGGCAGGGGGCGGGGCTAAGGATACTCAAACAGCTAGCAAAGGTGCAGGTCCTCCTTGACCCTTCAACAGACTCTATTTTTGATTTATTTTACTGAACCGGGAAATAGAGGACAAGTACAGTGGTGCCTCGCAAGACAAAATTAATTCGTTCCGCGAGTTTTTTCGTCTAGCGAATTTTTCGTCTTGCGAAGCACGAAATCCCACAGGAATGCATTGAAACTCAATTAATGCGTTCCTATGGTCAAAAAAAAGTCCAAACAAAGCCAAATTTGGTACAACAAGAGTTTATTAAGTGCTCTTTAAAGTCACACATACTGTAAAGAGCATTTCAAAAATTGAAGGAACAATAAATTAAGTTTCTAAACATGACAGAATAACATTTAAAAATCAACAAAGTGTACAGTACATTTTCTAAGACTCTGGGGGACAACTCGAAGAAGGTTCCTCTTCCACTCTTTGCTTCTTGCTGAAGAACCCCCTCCTCAACTGTTCCCCCAGCCACCCACCACACAAAAATTCAAATCCAGATTTTTTTAAAAAACAACAACAGCAGAGTGGCCCAATGGTCACAGAAAATCATAAAAATGCAGGGAAAAAACCACACAAGCTTCCAGATTCTTGCAAACCCCTCCTCAACTGTTCCCCCAGCCACCCACCACACAGAAATTCAAATCCAGATTTTTTTAAAAAAAAAACAGCAGTGGCCCAATGGTCACAGAAAATCATAAAAATGCAGAAAAAAAACACACAAGCTTCCAGATTCTTGCAAACCCCTCCCCAACACCAAGTCCTTGAATTCCAAACACCCCAACCCAAAATCCAAACCCCCCCAAAAAAGTTTTAAAAGTTTAAAAGAAGTTTTGGGAAAGCTTCAAAAATCACCAAAGTCTTCAAAAACCTCAAAAAAGGCTACCACACCGCGTTCTATGAGTTGCTCCTCGAAGTCAAGTCGCAACTGTATTAACAGTGTTAAGAAAAAGGAAACAAACTTGCAAGATGTTTTCATTTTTCGTCTTGCGAAGCAAGCCCATAGGGAAATTCGTCTTGCGAAGCAGCTCAAAAAACGGAAAACCCTTTCGTCTAGCGAGTTTTTCGTCTTGCGAGGCATTCGTCTTGCGGGGCACCACTGTAGGCTGTGTGTATTTACCAGTATGTGGATTGATTTAACTGAAGCCACTTTTTATTTTTGGGAGGCTGTTTACACTCTTCTCTGAGAGCATTCACTGATCTTGGCAGGGGGTTGGACTCGATGGCCCTTGTGGTCTCTTCCAACTCTATGATTCTATGATTCTATGATCTAATGCCCTGAACCCCCTCTTTGTTTGACTTCTCCCATGATGAGATATGAAACTAGAGTGACAGCAGTTGCCCATTGTGCCTGACAGTTTTCTTTGTCAGTCTCCGGAAGGCTTTGTCGTGTTTTCCTGACTCAAGGTGGCTTAGTTTGCGAAGCCGCACATTAACTGAGGTTGTTTCCAGACAACCTGTTTACTTAGCGCTCATTCTGATCTGCTTACGGGGAGATTAGACAATATTGGCCGTTTATTGAGCATTCATTCTGATTTGTTTATGAGGAGACTAGACAACATTGCATGAAGGAAATGTTATCGCACACTTTACAGTGCATTTATTTTCCCATCCTTTCTCTTACTGCAAAAAGGCAGGTTTCCGAGGCAAGTTTTTTGCGCAAGAGTTCCAAATCAGTTTTAACCACACAACCTGAATTTGCCAGTATATGATTGAATCCCACCTGAAAATAGAGACAATGTGGAAGCGCCCTGAGGTTGTATGGTTCTGCATTCAGTGGAACTGGACAAATGCAAGCCACAGCGATGTTCTTCTGTACTGTCTCTTGCACAGCTTATTTTCACTTCTCTGCATCCTGCACAAGAGACTTTTTGCTTTAAAAACCAGCAAAAGATGCTTGTGATATCTTTTAAAGACTAACAGATTTATCATGGCAAAAGCTTTTGTAGACCACAGCCCATTTCACCAGTTGCAACTCCTTGTTGATTCTGCTTTCAGTAGATTTTGGGCCTTTTTTATTTCCAAAGGGATTGTCATCATCATAGTTTATTTGTATGCCACTTTTCCATGATAAATCGTGCTCAAAGCAGCTAATAACACCAACAACATTATAATAAGAGAATGCACTAACAAGTACAGTCATATGAACAACAGACTAAGGAAAACTTATCAATCTACAATAAAATTAAACAATCCACTGATCATTCATCATAAGGTCTACCAATAAAAATACAAGAGCGTAATGCAGATAAGAGCAAAAATAATACATCTCTGAAGCCAAATCTTGACCCCAACAATAACCCCTAAATAATACCCCTGTCGGGGTCTGCACACACCATAAATTTGGAGCACATTTCCCACCCCAAGAACCCTGGAAACTAGTTCACTCCTCCCAGGTAACTCTTCACAATTCCCAGCATCCTTAACAAACTACAGTTCTGAGGATTCTTTTTTGCAGGGGCTGCTTTAAATTTATGGTGTGTATGGAACCCATATCTCTAAGCACCAGGAGCAACAGAGGCAGCCTTCAGCACTGAACTTGGTCAGGGCTCTCCCTTCCTGGATCAGATGGAAAAGGTCTGACTTAAGAGCAGGGATCAGTTCTTGCAGGACTTCCAGGGCGATGGTCTCTGGCACTTTCTGCAGCAGGCTTTGTAGCTGGAGTCAGCCAGGACCCCAGCTTCCTGTATAAGACTGAAGCCAGTTCTGTGGTGCCCTCATATCAAGTGGACAAACCTGTTGGAATCTGAAATTTGAGGTTGCACTAGCAGAGCAAAGAGTGGCAGGGACTCTTGCTTCTTTTCAGTCCCTGCAGGACTTTGGCAGTTCTTACTGCCTTGGGCAGGGATGGCGTGAGGATCTGTGGACTGTCAACGATCTCGATATACCAAAACCTGGAGAAAGCCAGCTGAGTTCTGTCATGTTATTCAAGTTGGTTTTTGCAGCTGACTCACATGCTGAACAGACATGCCCCTACGGGTGTCAGTACGGGTATCATAGCTTTTGGTTCACAGGAGTGCCCTGTCTCTCCAATGTTCAGCCTCCTTCTCATTCCAGGCCAGCTGCTTGGCACAGGTCTTGCTCATGAGGATTTGTCCAAAGAGCTTAACACTGTAAATGATTTAAAGGAAAGGGTGCATTTAGCCTAGCAAAGGGAATAGGGGTAGACAGACTCCCAAAGACTTCTTCGGAGTTCAGTTCCTCTCCAATATGGGAGTCATTTTCTTCCACCTATTTTCCTCCCCACCTCCAGTTTCAAATGCATTTCTGTCTCCTTTTTAACCCCTTGGTGGAAGACGCTGGAGGGGATTTCGAGCCAAAAAATGATGGGAGGTAAAAGGGTTAATCATAGGGTTGTCATATTTCAAAAAGTAGAATTCCTGATACCCACAAATCTGGACGTATGGCAAGCCTAGTTAAGCATTCACTACCAGCTTAGGGTTGCCATATTTCAAAAAGTGAAGAAGATATGGACACAAAAGTTGTTGAGCCTTTTTTGGCCAAAGTTATTCTGGCTATGTCTGGGAAATTCAAGATGTATGGAAACCCTATACTAACTGTTTCACAAAGTGAGTTGCATATATTTAGTCCTCAAAACCACCTTAATTCTGTACTTATCTCTTTGTTGTTATTTTACTGGCCATTCCTTAAGTACCAGATGAGCTGAAGCAGATGACATGTTTGCTGAGCATTCAACCCCATTTGTTTGCAGAGAGATTAAATGATTTTGGCTATTTAATGAACATTCCTTTCCTTGATTGCAGGGAGGTTACATGATGTTGCATCAAAGCAGGTGGTATCCCACACCTTTGAGTGCATTTTCCCATTGCTTTTCTTATTACAAAAAGTCTGATCTTCTGGGAAAGTGAGTTTGTTGTGCAAGACCTCCCATTCCACTATGAATGCACAACTTGAATTTGCCAGTATGTGGATTGAATAGTGGCAGTCTGGAAGCACCCTTGCTGTTTGCATAGGGGCATTTTCTGCACAGGGACGTTTCTGCACCAGATCATTTCTTGGCACCTTGGTTTTTTGTTTTTGCAAGGTTTGTATAGATGCAGTTTTTCAGCAAACAACTTCCTACTAGAAGGATATAGATGCAGTTCATCTCACACATCCTTAAAAACTGGATACAATGCTGCATCAAAGTTTCTTAAGGCACCTGGTCTCCAGGTGAGGGCATTGAATGAAAGATGGGGACAGGTTGGTGGATACTGCAGCTGCCTGGTTTTCCCACGGCACCCTAAACCTGCCTTTGGCAAGCTGTTGCAACATAGAAAGGCAGACGAGCCACCTGAATAGAGTCTGTGTGGGCAGAGACTACACTGCTGTATAGGTAAAGAGAGCAGCTCACAGAGAACCTTTTTGTGAGTTTGTGAAAACCTTGGAGCCTCTAGATTGCACAGCCATGAGATAAGAAATACGGGCTGTACATGGTACATATAATTCTCATGCATTATGATACAAGGCCAGTGCAATTTAGTAAGCAAAGAATGAAACTGGTTTAGAAGATGTAGACTGTACAGCAGACTATTCCTAGGTAAGTGTGCACAGGATTCTAGCCATGTGGCACAATCCTATTCATGGTTATTCAGTCATAAATGCCATTCCATTCAATGCTCCTTACTCCCTAATAAGCATTTTAAGAATTTGATCAATAACATAAACATAACACTTGGGGAATATATGGGACAGGTTCTCATGTAGTGACCAACACAACAGGAATTAAACTAGTCATGTGACTGGTGCAATATTACCTCATATGTACCATTTGGTGTACCTTGGATGTGATCCAACTGCGACAAACAGACATCCAAATTATAATTTGCCACCTTTTCAGAAAAGGTTCTAAAAATGGATGGAAGAAGTGATGAGCTGCAGTTTGGAGATGCGTTGAAAACATCATGCCAACTGGTTTATTGCCGTCAGCTTGGGTTGACTTCCTTCTCTCATGCAGTCGATTTAGAGGAAACCTTCTTTTTGAAGATGTGTTGAATTAATGTTATGATGAGGCTATTTGTAGCAGGCAGGAACCTCACCCAGACTGTTAACTTCAAGGTTAACCTGATTATCTGCTCCCTTTTTAAAGCTTAATTTGGCCATCTAGAAAGGAAGCCAGGCAAAAGAGTCATAGACTTTGGGTGTCAGTAACCTCTAATATCATGACAGCCCAGACAACCAGGTATCTGAAGAATTTCAGCTTCAAGCTAGTGAGTAAGGCAAAAATAAATAGAAACAGGTATCACCTTGAGAAGCATATGCCCAGCTTTTCTTCTTGCATTAGCGAGAAATGTGTGCTACAATTTCTACACAAATGTCCATTGCTAGGAAAAGTGGCTAGAAGCTGTCTCAGCCTATGGTTTGACACTGTGTGTATGTATACCTTTGCTGACTTAATCCTTTCATGCAGGGGTAGGGAACTTTATATTCATCCACACTTATGTTATCCCCGCTCTTCCTGAGTGCTTTTGCCTGGCTGTCCTTGAACAGTGATAAGGCCTCTTGTTTGTCTGCCTGGAGAAGTGTGTGTGTGTGTGTGTGTGTGTGTGTGTGTGTGTGTGTAAAGCTCTGACTTCTGCATGGTTGAAATGTTTCTTGTTGTATAATCACATCTATTGTTCTGTCCACTTTGCCTCTCACCCAGTGCCGAATTTATGTATAAGCTAAACAAGCTATAGCTTAGGGCCCCACTCTCTTGGGGGCCCCAAAAAAATTTGAAGGGAAAAAAACCCTGGATGTACATTTCCAAAATATAAGATAAGAAACAAATAAAATAAAACCTACATAATACAGCAACAGTGTTTTTTGTTGTGTAGGTTCCTATGATGTAGGTAATGGGCCCCGCTTGCTAGCTTGCTCCCTAAAATATCACTGGTTTCCTCATTTCTATATATAGGGTGCCTTCATTCTGCATTTGCAAATGGCTTTAGATACCTATTAGGCCCATAAATTACCATACAGCATATATTCAACACAAAAAACAGCGACAATTTGTTGTTGACAAAGGACGGCTGGACATATAAAGGGCCCCATTACCTTCAGTAGTTTAGGGCCTCATCAAGCCTAAATCCGACCCTGCTTCATGGACTCACCCTGTCCACTGCTGCCATGGGGCCCCAGGGAATGTGGCACTCTGGCTGATAATGAAATTATCTTTCCACTCTCCCTCTCTGTCTTTCTAAGGCTGAATCAGCAATGAAATGTAATTGATAGGGTTGGGTGTGGGCCTTTCTCTCCATGTGGCAATCCATCCTGCTTTGTGGCTGATGGCGCATATTCTGCACGTTGCACCTTCCTCACTGCTTGACTTTAACACATTCACTTTCTCAGTAGCAAAGTGCTGCAGAACAGCCCTTTAAGCAGAGGTGGGGTTTATAGAAGCGGAGTGTCTCTGCTGATCATACCTGTTAATTCATAATGTTCAGCTGAGAACCTTATTAAAGTAAATTACAGGTTGTGGTGCTCATTACTAGAAAGAACAGCTCAGAGAGGTGTGGTCCCAAGGCAAGCGCTTAAGGATGGAAGCTAGGAAGTCCCCAAGATCTATTCTCAGCTCTGACACCAATTCCGTCATCAGGTTTCCTCCCCTGTCAGCTTTACAAGGGGAATAGTTACAATTAACATAATGTTTAGGAAGGATGTCTGTGCCCTCAGAAGAGATCAGATACTTCAAATAGTTTCTCTTTCCAGCAGGACTGGCTCCAGCGGCTATTACCATCAGGTATTTGCTGAGACTCAAGGACTCCTGAAACGCTTTTGTTTAAACATGACAGGGACCTCACAATAAACATTGCATATATACTCTGTTTCCTCCAGATTGGGGGTATACCAAAACCTTGGAGTCATGGGCATTCAAATCATCATCATAAAATTCATAACCACTTAATTGTCAGAAGCCTCAGTTTACAAAATATTAAGGAGAAAATTATAATTATTATAATTGTTATTTTTTCAGTATATAGCCTGCCTTTCATCCCAAAGGATTACAAAAACCTTTTAATGAAACATGATTCTTTATTATTTCCTTTTTTTAAGAAAGGCTGGATATTTCAGTGATTTTGTAAATGCAACATGACAGCAGCAATAGCGTTGACAGTATCAACACTGCACATTCTTTGTTTTGTTGACTTCGTTATTTGTTAATTCTGTGGTTTTATTTCTTTTCTATTTAGTGATCATTTGTTCATGTGGTGTTTTTGTAACCCACCTTGGGTTCATTTGGTGAAGGGCAGACTATAAATTGTTTATCTCTGTTAGGAAGTGACGTTTTGGTGGACTGCAGTTCCCATAATACAGCTGCATGCACAAAAATTGAGTAAACATCAGATCAGGAAGCTAGATGGAGGGCAGACTAGAGGTAGCAAAGGCCCTTCCTACAAAGGAATAAAAGGAAAGTGTTTTGTGTTCAGATTGCATTTCTTAACTGGTCTTCCGCAAAAGATTCTAGGGCAACGCACAAAAAGTATTCATGCAACAGATGAATACAATTTCCAAAAAGAAGATAAAGGCAAACTAAAAATGTAAAACTGGGGAACAGAGAAGGTAGTTCTAACTGAAATATAATCCAGAGCCCCATTGACTTAAAATAGGACTTGCAGTGCAACTCTATACATCTCTATTCAGAATTAAGTCCTGTTAAGCTCAGTGAAGTGTAGACAGAATTGCAACTTTGCTTATTTTTGAGTAGACATGTATAGGACTGTGCTCTTAATATGTTATACAGGTTTTATTAAGTTTGCCTTCACACCTACCCTGTATGGTTAGTCACTATTACTATAGTTGGAAAATGGAAACTGAGAGGGAGAATGTAGTTGACCTGAACTCTGGTTCATGAGCTATTTAAAATGATATATGTGTCTCATGTGGAAAGGACATGGATTTAGGAAACAGAAAGCATACCATCTTGTGTCAATCAGTGGTGACTACATGAACATCTGTTGTACAGTACATACTACAGAGGTGTAATTGGAAGGTCTCAAAAGTTGTGGCTACGCAGTAACATGGTCCCATACAATGACATAAGAGACCTGTATTGCCCTCAGCACCCATCTGCACCTGATTTTCATGACTTTTCCTATATGAAAGTGCTTCCATGAAATTAATGTGTAATGGCTGAAGCACTCCTCAGTGTATTCAACCACTGAACTACACTGCTAGCAGTGTGTTGGGAGGATATATTATATAAGAATTTAATATATTAGATAACCAAGTAAAGGCTCCTCCACATCCCAGTGGTAATGTGCTGTCCCTTCAGCACCATTTTGGGTTGGGAATGGCAACTGAGATCTTCCAGTGGCAACTATATTTTGTGGTGGTCCCCTGTCTTTGGAATGCTGTTTCTTAAAAGGCCAATCTTATAAGCCTTTTTTAAAGGGGGTGCAGGCTATTTGGAAGCTGTGTGGAGCATTGACTGAGTTTACTTGAAGGTTAACTTGTTGCTGGCTTTAAAGTCTATTGTTCCAATGCACTTAATAAAAGTGCAATTTTGAATCAGTTAATCTATCAACATGTTTATTTGGAAGTTCTGCAGATTTTGATGGGATTTATTCCTGAATATGTGTGCGTAGCCATAAAAAATTATAATGGATTAAAACTATACCCCAATTAATCTGGCAGCATTTTTAAAAAAGGAGTATTCTTAGTAAATATTATTGGGAAAATTTAATATTGAAAGTGGAATTTTGTGTTCACTTTCACAGATGAGGGGACCCATTCTGCTCATATGTGGCAATCGTCCACAAACATAAAGTATGCTTCTTGTTTTAGAAGTTTTCTTACATACAAATATTTGGAGGGAAATCAACTGATTTCATCAACTAAGTGGCTAAAACTCATACCAATGCAATTGGTTAAAATCTTACAGCTCTTTTATCTGTTTCCATATCTCTTGTGATATTAGCCAATGTCCCAGCTGGGACCCATAAGTCAGATAATAAAATGCAAAAGCAAACACCTTTCTATCACTAACAGAGCGATAATGTGATAGTTTGATGCACCTGAATGGAGGAGCCAAGTTGTGCCCTAGGGCTGTCCCTACATTTAGGCACAGAAGGGTGACCTGCCTTGAGGACCAGATTTGGGGTAACATTAAAAGACAGCCATTTGTCAATGATTGCTACCTTGTTTATTATCTTCTTGCCACCCTCTCAGTTTTCTGCCCCAGGCACCAAAACGTCTCAACCATCTGCATTCTGCACCTCTGAATTGTTTCCTGTTCCTGGCTTTATGTGTACCTCCTCTGTATCCCTCTCTTACCTTGCCTGGCTGCAGCAGTGGCATGAGGAAGAGCCACTGCAGCTATTTGTCTTGTCTAACCTGGGGCTGGTGCCCAGTGGATGATGCTCTGTTTGCCCAACGAGTGGGCTGTGCAGGAACATTTCTACTGGTAATTATGAAGGGCGCAGGTGTCACCACATGCATAGTTTCCTAATTCTTTCCATTCCTCATTGCTGTTCTTAGGAAAGAATGAAGCAGCCAGGCAAAGAAAAACCCGGCAGTTTCATGCAAAGCCTCACCCTGTACCTCCTACTGTGTACTCTATTAAATTCGCTGAATGGAGAATTCACTTGTCTGAGAAGAATTCACTTGCTGTGTTTGGTGTTTGTTGCAAAGGCACCAGACAAAAGGCACTGCGGGTGCTGGCTGCAAAGCTGAAAGCAGTGATATTCTCAAGCAACACTGGGGACTTATTGTCCCTCTGTGGCCTGTGCCTGAATGATAAAGTAACCCAAGGCGCTTGTGTATTGAAAACAGACTCCCTGCCCATGGGGGTGTGCAGCCACATGGATGGTGTGGTTAGCGACACATTGCTTGCGCTCTGGCACAACAGTCCCATCCCTTCTCCTGCCAAAGCCTGTCAGCCAAAGGCCACCATTTGAGGGCCACTGAGAGCAGAAGCTGGTCTATCAGCTAAATCAGCCATCTGCTTTATATGCTGGAAATTGAATGGGGGAAATAAATGAAAAGTATTTTTTACCAGATTTTCACCAGATTCCTTGTTCTCATACTTAAAAGAAAAAGAAAAAAGTGGGGTGTTCTGGAGCTTGGCTCTCAGGACTCCTTTTTCTGTTGCTTTTTGTGCATACATGAGACCCAGCACAGCTTATAGTAAAATAAGAGTACAGTATTTTATTTCAACAGAAGGTACCTTGGTGAGAATCCTCCTTCACAATGTTGTGTGTGTGAATGTGAATGAACCTGTGACTCTAAATATTGTTGGACTGGAACTCCCATCATCCATGACTATTCCCCATGCTGGCTGAGGCTGATGGGAGTTGCAGTCCTACAAAATCCAGAGGTCCACAGGTCCCTGCACTAAGTGACCTTGAGGAAGCCACTACCTCTCATCTTAACCTCCCTCACAAGAGTTGCTTAATGAGTTACCGGTAACTTAAGCTGCTTGAAGGAAAAGCTAAATGCTAACAGGATACATTAGAACAGCAACAACACATGAAAACAGCACCATTTATGAATGATAGAAGTCATACATGCATATTTAGAGATTGTGGCTACCTTCAGTAATATATATGGGTGGACTGCCAGTAGCATGCAACCATTAGTCACAATTTATACTAGTGCAAGCCATTCATAGGTGACTGTTGAATTTGAACCATTATATATTTTAGGAATGTAGCTGAGAATATGCTTATTAAAGTATTTTTTAAAAGATGACATTTTTAAAATGTCATTTTTTATTTGCATAGCACTTTTATTATCCTACTGTATGTATTCTTGCTGGCATGGATATGCCAGCAACACATTTGTAAGCACATGTAATCTATCTATCTATTCTATGGAGAGCTCAGTTGATGGCAGCTCTAGGTTTACATTTAGTAGCAAACTCCTATTTGCTTCTATATAGTGTGTCAAATGGCCCTTAGGTCTTCTACAAAAACCTATGAAGAGACCCTCGGCTCCAAGGGATTCTGTAAATCTCAGGTGCTTCTGAATTGCTGGTGCCCTGATGTGCCTGTTATTCTAACAGTCAGTTCATCTGAGATACTTGCTTTCCATACAAGCAAACCCTGAACATCCTTGGGCACTCTGACAAACATAACAAGCAGGATCTGTTTGCAGGGGACAAACAAAAGTGGCTCCAATATGGAGCAATACAGAAGAAATTACAGGCTTGACCAACTTAAATTGTCCTCTTGATAGCTATCTGATCCAAGATACCCATTTAAGCAGTGACTCATGGATTTTTACATAAACTCAAGGTGAAGGGGTTCGCGGCCACGCCTTCAAAACAATGTGTGGTTTGTTTGCCTTTTGTTGCTAACTTGCTTCTCCTTCTTGTTTCAGGTGAAGTGGACGGCATTTATTATGGGGATAATCGCTTTGCTTCAGTGACAGATTCTGGAACAGCAACACTTAAGCCACGTCCAAGAGTCCGACCTTTGTTGACTTTCTTACCTCTTGTGAGTATTTGCTCTGTGTAGCAGGTTGGTTTGGCTTTAGTTTGTATGGTATATATGGAACGCAGTTGCCATTTTGCTTATATAAAATGAGATGCAATGTAAGACAGAGGTGGGCAGAAGGTAGATTGGGATCCATTGCTAGTTTGGGGGTGACTTGCAGTAGATCTTCTGATGGGGCACTTTGAGTGGTGCCCCATGCCCCTGAGGTTTGGTCAGCAGGCCCACACTAAAATGGAGACCTTACAACACCTGGAGATATACAACACCTTGAGTGCCTTGGCTGTGTGGTAAACATTTTTGAGTAGGATGCAGTCAACCAGCTTACTAGGTAGTTACATGTACACTGTGGAAAAGTTACCACTTATTAAATGATTGCTGTGTCTATTTATGCTCACCAGCACACTGATCCAATAAAAGCTGTTACTTAATGTTCTGCTTCAGATGGTAGGACATGGGCTTAAAAGACTATCATGAGTGGAGAAATTTAAGCCACTGCAAACTACATAGTATCCATACTTTCCCAACTTGTCTTGCAAAAGAGAGAGAGAAAGAAACACAAATGAAAAGTAGAACTGCTGGAGAACTTCCTGGTGATGATGCCCAAGGCAGAAAAGGCTTAGATGAGGTACAGGGAACATTCTCAGCATACATTCAACTGGTTCTCAACTTGGTTGACTGGATCTGCACCTTTCATGCAAATGCAATGGAAATCATTTTGGGCCTTGCGCTTTTTATGCATGTTGAAGTTTTCCCTGTTGGTTGTGTCACAGCCTGGTAATCTTGACTTCAGTGGTGCCTCAAATTAATCAAATGAATGACTAATAGAAGTGATGTGGGGGGAGAAGGAAAAAGCATAGAAGGAGGAGGAAGTGTGAGCAGGGATGCTAATTTTGTAGCTGAAATGGCAAAATGAACATGAAGACTGTAGCCCTGTTCAGGTTTTCTTAAGTTGGACCTGTGGAGACAGTATGGGGTCATGGGTGCCAGTCCCACCCCCACCCCCTTCAACTTTGACCTTCTCACATTGAGTGGCAAGGTCTAAAGGAGGATTATATGTATGTTCTGCTGAACACCATTACAATCTTCCACGACTCCATGAATACAGTTTAAGAACTGTAGTCGTCCCTCAATTTGAGTAATGATCATGCAGTGCATATGCTGGATGTTTCCTAAGGAGTAAGAGTGCTACTCTCTGAAGTTTACTTTTATCCAAGTGTGGAATGGAGAAACTTTATAGACTATACGGATTCTATGATTCTTCTCCAGTGCAAAAAGTAAATTCAGAACTTGGCACTGGGTGCAGAATTTGGCGTGCTTTCCCTTTTGAAACCCCCCCCCCCATTTTTTTCTTAATTTTCATAATTTATACAGGTCTTGACATTATAGTTCCTTTATGCTGAATTCTATTTTTTTTAATATGCAAACTGCACAGCCTATGTGATTAATTGGCTGTTCCACTTCATTTGCTCTTTTTAACAATACTTTTGGGAACACAATCCCAGGGGTTCCTTGGTTTGTATTGTACTCATTTAATTTATGTTGGGCACCAGCATTAGATTTGCTGCTTCTGGAACCATGACAACAAGAAGAAGCTGGAAATAGCATATCTTATTTCAGAGACAAATATTTAAGAGACATCAAGCAGAAATGCTGTGCGGTACAAAGTTTGCTATAGTTGAGTTGGCTGTTGGAGGGAGCAGACCAACAAATACGGTACATTTTCCTAGTGAAATTTTAGTCTCATTTCCTTCTTTAGCTAACCAACCAGAAAGACATGGGTATCAGATAGGGTTAGTTAGTGCTGGAGACCATTTAATTGTCCCTCTGACACCCATTAATTCCACTTGTCTTCAAAGACCACATTAATACCACACTTTAAAGTACTATGATACTGTTTTAAACATTCATGGCTTCACCCAAAGAATTCTAGGAGCTGTAGTTTAAGGGTGTTGAGAGTTGTTAGGAGGCCCCTATTCTCCACCCACAGCTAGAATTCCCAGAGCTCCCTAGGAAGGGTGAAACCACTCTGTAAACTGTTGCTGTGTGAGAGATGTAGGGTCTAACAACTCTCAGCACCCTTAAGAAACCACAGCTTCCAGAATTCTGACTAATTAATGTGGTATCATAGTGCTTTAAATGCATGGTGAGAATGTGGCCTAAGATGAGACCCATTAATTCCGCTTGCCCCTCTAAGATGAGACCCATTAACTGTTGACATTCTAAAAGCTCAGAGACAGCAAGAGAGTTTCAGCTGCTGCAAAGCCTCCTGCCCTTTTGCTCAAGCAGTCCCTCCTCCCACCCTTCTCTTCAGTTCTGCTGACTACAGCAAGTACAAGAGAAGAGGCTGGGAAAGCACCACTTCTGCATATTATCCTGATAACACCAGGTTTTAAGACTGGTAGACAAATAGCATGTTTATGATAAGAAAGTCTGTGCCTATGTGGCTTTGCAGTAATAGACAGAAGACCAAAATGGATCAGATAATTTTGTGTGTACGTGTGTGTATCAGATTTATCAACTGTTTGCCAGCCAGAAGCTGTCGATAGGAAAAAAATGGGATAAAGTACCAATGATTCAGACTCGAAAAACAAGATTAAACGCAAAAATACAGGCTCCAAGATTGAGCAAATCTTGGAAATAGTTTTGTTTTAGAACTACAGTATTTCTAAGATTTGCTCAATTAATATTCCATAAATGACTAGATAAAGGAAAACCGGCATAAACTCCTTGGCAAAACACCAAAATACTAGCTGCCTGTATAATTTCTTATAGAGAAGATTACCGTGATTTTGGAAAAGTTCATGTCTGGGGGAAAATGTATCCTGAGTTAAATTGGGGTGGCTTCACGTGCAGTTTTCATTATCTTCTGCTCTTTGCAGTGCTTGTCTCCATGCAGAGGCACACATACTAAGCAGAATTCCACACCTGTTTTTCATTATGTGATTTGCCAGTGTCATCTTCAGCTGTGCTCTGCTAAAAACAAACCTGATATCCTGCATCACATATGTGCCTCTTGAAGTAGTGGGAACAGCATTTCTCTGGAACTGTTTTCCAGAATTGCTCTTAATCCAGTGCAAAGGCAATCTCTACTAAGAGCTGGTGGATCCCAAATGCATGTCCACCACTTGATGACTGCAGCATGTGTGAAAGGCCTGGCAAAGATCAAACGCCCCCAATTGGACACCCATAATGCTTTTCCATGGAGTCAGTTTGCACATCCAGCTGCAAGTCAACAAGTGGTGTGTTTCATGATATGAAGACAGGATGCCTTGAATGTTCACTTCCAGTTCCTAATGCCTACCAGACAGACATGTGTTCAGCTGGATTCTGTTCCTTCTTGTGTTTCTTTAACTGAATTGTCCATTGAATAACTGCAATACCAAGAAGTGGTGCTGACTAAAGAAAGGGCATGGGAGGGCATTATTAGAAGTCAGTGATGTTGAACAGATGGCTCCAAAGGCATCATTAAGTGGGAGGGAATATCATGGCTCAGGTGTCATTTAGGAAATAAATGAATGAACTCTGAGGATGCCTCACATAATGTTGCTGAATGAAATGGCAATTATTCTACAGTACATACATTTTGGGGTGAATTCATGCATGCATTTCACTTGGGGACTGCCCACTTGTTTACACTGTTGTGGAGAGAAACCACAACTATTTCCCTTACAAGCATTGTCATGAAATAGATCCATGTTTGCTACATCAGAACTTACACTTTGACTACAGACACATGAGGCTAAAGTGATAAAGAAATTACGAGACCTATTTTTTTGGTAGAAGACCGCTGGATTTTGAATCACATAGGTTTGACTAATTGTTTTGATTTTGGGGGGCAGTCCCTGAGCTCTAAACTGCATCAACACAATTCCTTTCCTGCTTCCTGCAGTCTTTAGCTAGTTGGGTGAGAAGCTTCAGGGTCACACATCAATGCAAAGGGGGGGATGACATGAACCATTTGTTCTTTCTGGGCTTCCTGTGGAACCCTGAAAAGGTGGTATGCATCTTCCCCCAACAGTGAAATCTGCAGGCAAGTGCATATAACAAATCTTCATTTTTAAAAAAGCAAAGAAAAACAGCCTGGGGATGATCCAGTTTTGCCTACAGGAGTGGCAGAGGGAAGGAGTGCTTAGCTCCTGCCCTGCTGTCCATTTTTCTACCCAAAACCCCCTGCCCAACTATACTACTCCCCACTACCTGGGAGGGATCTAAATATGTTTGGATAAAGGTAGGAAAGCAAATGGGGAATTTGAACAGGAAGATGAGTGGTAGGAAGCAGCTAAGCTTGCTGTTACTTTACTCAAATGGTTTCCCCAGGCTACTTTCCACTTTCAAAATAAAAACGCTGGGGCTTCATTATGTATATTTTAATATAGTGTTGTTGTTTGCCCTTGAAGCTCAATTTGTCTCACCCTGGGAAAGATTTGAGCTGCGAACGTTTCTGACCTATTCACCCTGGTGTGGAACAAAATAGCAGCCTCCTCCCATTGGGCCCAGAGATATGAGAGTGATGAGAAACAATCCAGCAGCTCCCGTGCTGCTGAGGTAACATAAAATTATCCTAGTGTGGTTGCTTGAAGGCAAAGAGGACATCATCCTCAATTAACTAGGAAGCTTATTTGTAATGTGCACGCCCAGCGTAATTTGAAAACACTTTTCCACCACCGTTGCCAGAAGACAAGGTGGCCAACCAAGTGTTTCGGTGAGGTGGACAAGTGTGGTGGGCATGAGACTATTCATCCTGGGCAGCAGAAAAGACTAAGACTGGCTTTGCTCAGGGAAAATGGCAATCCCTCCCTTTCTCCATATGCCAAACCCTTCATTTTATCATCGCAACAATCTTGTGGGATAGGTTAGGGTGAAAGAGGGTGACTGTCCCAGGGGAACTGTAGTGTAATTCTATGCATGTTTACTCAAAAGTCACTGTGTTCAATCACTGTTAAGTGTGTTTAGGATTGCAGCTGTAGTAAATAAGCTACACAAATAAATAAGCCCTGTGCCCTACTGGTTTCCCTTGGAAACTCTTTAGCAATAAATCAGACCAAATCAATGGAAAACATGATTGCCATTTGTTCCAATTTGGTACTAAAGAGCAGGTTTCCGTGAGGCAAAGTGACAATGGAAGAATGGATAAGCTGTAAGCAGATGGTGCCGTCAGGCAGTGCCACCACCTGGATTGGCTGTAAGTAAGAAGGCCGGCAAGTGAGCACTGGCTGAGGGCAAACTGAGGTTGGTGGAGCAGTGCCCCATTCACTCTAATGGACCAGTCCGCACTGCTTTCAGGCAGATGCTATTCTTGTGAGCATGTATCTGGAACTCTACAGAGATTAAAAGGAAGAGAAAATCCCTCAGAGACATTTTGATGCATCTTTCCTCAGACTCACCCTTCCAGAAGATGCTTTTCTTTACAAAGAATAGCCACGTAGCTTCGTTTCATGCATTTTTATGTAATGTGCAGTTAGGCTCTTCAGCATTGGGTTAAAGGGATAAATGAGCCTAAAAAATGAAGTACGTGAGCCCAAGCCCATGTCTTCAGCCATGTATAAATCTGAAACTTTCAAAGCCCCAAGCCCTTCCTTTAGACAGACATTGAGAGCTGTGCAATTCTGTCTCAGAAAGGAATGAGGGTTTGTCCAGCTGCCATGGATGTAGGTATGAGTCAATATTTGAACTGGCTTAAGAACTGCGTACACCCAGCATTGGATGGAAGCCCATCCATATTCCTTTGCTTTGACCCCCTGTAAAACTAAAACTTCCTTGCCACGCCCTGTATTGAACTTGGCATGTGTCTCGCGCATGCCAAGTCTGTCACCTGTCTCACACATGCAAAGTGAAGCATCCAGGAAGCTTTTTTTCATATTTTTGTGAGAAATGAATTGTGTTCTAAGCAATATTTGCTGGAGCATGTCTTAGCCAGCATCCGTAGCTGCAGATTTGCACAGGGCCAGTCTGCTTCTCTTGGGTCCCCTTGTGCATATCAGTTTGACTCATCTGTGCTCTGCCATCTCTTATGCCTGTCCCATCCCCCACAGCGCCAACCTCTGCTCTGTAAATCAGATGAGGTGAAACCTGCTGACATATTGATTATTATTTAAATCTGCTCTCTCTCTCTCTCTCTCTTTTTTTAAAGAAGCAACAGCAACATCCTGCTAGTCGTTTGAAAATTTACTTGGGGCTTTTCACTGTCACTTTTGTGCCCTTTTAATACTGTTTTTAATAAAGCTTGAAAATGGGACTGTTTTTATAATTTCATTTTAAACTTTTTAATCAATTGCCTTTGAGCCTTTCTGTTGAAGAGTACCCTAAGTATAAATAAGTAACAAAATTAAGAACAACCCCTTGCCCCACTTTCTGCATATCCAGAGTTTCTCCTTCTACCACTTTGCTCCAATTGAAGGAGGAAGAGTATATGTAAGAGGAAGCAATGATATAAAAACTAGATTGGAACTTGCCAGATTCTTTTTCCAAAAAGAAATAAGAGAAGGTTTACATTACAATTAAGTAAAATAAGATGGGAAGAATGATGCAGCAATAAGCCTAAGCCATAAAACGTTTAAAAACATTAAAAACAATGGAGCTAAAACCATAAAAACTTAAAGCTGGAGGGTTTGATTAATACTGCCATATTGTTTCTCCTCCCAGTTACTTGCATTAAGAATCTGGAAGCAGGGGGCCTCATGGGTCTGCCTAGTTCAGTATTGCCTTCCATGATTAGCAGTTCTTCTGTGTTTCAGGGAGGGGACATTCCCAGCTCTAGCTGAGTGAGGTTTTCTGCACGCAGGGCATGCGTTCTACCAGCCCTGATAATTTGGCTCTTCCCCTTTAGGGTAGTGATGGCCAAACAGTAGAACCAACCAGAAAGATGGGTTTCAATGGCACCAGTGAAACTATGTGTGATCCAAGAATTGTGGCCTAGCATCCTTGAGTGCATGCCTTGGGTTGTATGCCACAGTCACATGGAACAGCAAGATGCCTTTAGGCCCATCTTGACACTTACGTTTGTGGACCACATGCTGATTTCTGTCTCATTTTCCTTTACAAAATGGCCCAAAGCAGCTGTGAATATTGCCCCTGAAACCTCATTCAGCAGGGAAAGTTACACTCTCTCAATAATAGTAAAACAAGACATCCAGTTCAAAAGACATCCCAAAGACACAGTAGAATATCACTGCCCACCAAAATGGCAGAAGGAGATGGAGCCAGGCAGGCAACATTTGGACAAGGGGACGATTCTGCTGTCTTGGTCCATGACAGAATGGTCCCTGTCTCTTTTACACAGCCACCATACTTCCACAGAAAGAGGGGGTGCAGAGAATGCCTCTGATGGTTCATATGTGACAATGAGGGTCTTATTTTATCCCGATCCAAGGTGTATTCTACTCCCGAACATCCATCACGTAGCTTTTCAGTATTGCTATTAGACTTGTCCCACAGCGGATGGTTGATGCATTGAATTGCTCATGATTTACATTCTCCAAGCTTGAAAAGCTGGTTTTAAGTCGCCCTGTGTTGTGAAAGTGACCCTTGATGAATCAGATAAATGTAAGGGTAAGGCTGCTCCTGCTACCACTGCTGACTCTTTATTCCACAGCACTCTCTAAAATATGAAGGTGACAAAGGGCTTACAAGACATATCCATGAGGAAATGACCAAATGATGAAGGAGGTGTATTTCTCAGTGGTCCCTAGAGAGCAGCCCCGTGCCAGGGATCATACTTTTCAGTTGAATTACCTAAAACCTAATTATTATTTTTTAAGCGTTTGATGGTGATCACTTGCTCTGTTGTTGCTGGGTCTTTCTTTCTTTCTTTCTTTCTTTCTTTCTATCTTTCTTTCTTTGGCACTTCCAGACTGTTAGGATTGAGTTTCATCATGGAAGAAAGGTGGACTAAATTAATAAAACAAATAAAAGCACTCAGTATGCGGTGAACAGCCTTCCTTGGCACAGCCCACAATGTTTTAATGGAACCAAGTTTAACTGTTCCCATTGCTGGGGGGGGGGGGGCATCAAACAAATCTCAACCTTGGCCTGGAATAATGCTTGTTAAATATTAACAGAATCTCTTAAGGTTAGCTTGAGAATTCAAAGTATTTGTGTGTTTAAATGTGTGTGCGTGTGCAACACTTGGAATTGTGAAATCATGGGTCATATTTCACTGTACAATCAATAACCTTTTGTATGGGACTTCAGGTTATTTTTCAGCAAACTTTTATTTATTGTACTGTTGCAGACGTGTGGTTTGTATCATAATTTTCCTGTACTTTGGAGTGAAAAGAAGCTTAATTCCTGAGTAGCCAGAGTTTCTTTCTTTTTAAAGAGAAATCCAAGGAATTTTTCAGAGCTATGGTGGTTTAGATTAAAGTGACATCCATGGTTTACAATAACAGTATTAGTTCTTGCAGCATCTTAAAGACTAACAAATATATTGAAGCATAAACATTCATGGGCCGGAGGCCACTTCGTCAGGTGCATGTTGGTCTCTATAATGTGGATAGAGACAATGTGATGTTCTAGAATAAAAGTTAGCTCTTTGAAATAATGCACATGCGACATCTGTACTTAATCCAAACAGCTTTGTCATGATTCCTGAAATTAGAAATGTGGTAGAATTATACACGTGCAAAGCAACAATTCCCAAATACAGGCATAATTTTAAAGCATAAAAAGGAATCCAGATAGAAGGTCCTAGTGTGATAATAGATAACAGAGGAGAAGAGACCAAAGCATGGATGCCAGCAGAATTTTTTTCAGTTCAACACTATAAACAACCAATCATAACTAGCACCACAGCATGTCTACTATTTCTGGTAGATCTGGTGACTGAACAGCGTTGAGACCTGGGTAGACCTGGCCTCTGAGAAACATGTATTTCAGGTCTATCATCTACCTTGTTTCTCAACAGTTAGACATGCTATCCATCCATGAGTCTACCTGACATCCAGATGATGCCTTTCCATTCACAGCTGAAACTCAGTTCTTTTCCTGCTTCCCTTTAGCCCTTCTAGCCCTTAATTAATTGTCCAGTTAATACAATCAACTGCACTACATTACCCTTAAAAAAAAAAAAAGCACACCAGAATTTAAAATAATACTGGATTACACTTCAGGGCTTTTACACACTGTCCTTCTCTCTTCTTTGAGCAGAATGAGTATAACAACACTGGGTTACTTTGCAAGGCTGGCACAATAATCCACATTCTCTCTGACACAGCTCCACCTTCTGTAATATGGGTAAAATAATCTTGGATTTTGAGATGGTTTGCCCATCGTTGTAAGCCAGAGTTATGCTGGCATGTTATGCTGGCTCCTGCAAAGGAGCTCACACTCACCTAGCTCCTCACCAGGCTAAAAAGCACACGAGAGCAGCAGCTATGTCAAGAACTGGCTTAGTGGGCCATCTGAACCCAGGATCATCATCAAGGTCTCTCTTCTTTAACAACAGCAATCTGCAACCATAAGATAGATTCGTGTGTTTGTGCTTGGTCATGGTTTGGCTAAGCATTTTATGTATCTGTATTGGTAAAATAGTTTTTTTAAAAAAATGTTTACAAACTCACTGATGGGAAACCTCTCTCTCTTTTTTACATTTCATTTGGCATGAAATAAGACTTAGATTAGAAATATTGTGCCTTTCCTGCTACCTTCTGCTTTGGAACGGAACCACAACCTTCCAGTCACAGCTTCTTTTATCATTTTCAGTGCATTATTATTATTAAAATCTATACCTCACCCTTTTCCTCTAAGGAGCTCAAGGTGGCAACATGGTTCTCCTTCTCCCCATTTTATCCTCACAATAGCCCTGTAAGGTAGGACTTGAATCCTGGTCGCCCAGGTCCAAGTGGCTTATGCTAACCACTACACCACATTGATTCTCTTCAATGAGGAAGCACTTCAACCCATAAGGTGCCAGCTAGAGCAAAGGGCTGGCTGATGCTTTACTTCTTAATTTCAGTGGTGCCACACTCACCACACTGATCGTGTGTGTGTGTTTGTGTATTAGCACTGCAGCAGCCAGCATAATAGAGATCATTAGCATCCACATATCTGAAGAAGTATACACGCACACGAAAGCTCATACCAATAACAAACTTAGTTGGCCTCTAAGGTGCTACTGGAAGGAATTTTTTTTATTTTGTTTCGACTATGGCAGACCAACACGGCTACCTACCTGTAACTAGCATCCCCATGTCGGTGTGAGATGTTCCGATTTGGTGTGTCTGACACTTGCAACAACTTTGCATGAGAATTGACTGACTGAGGCCACTGGAAAGGAAAAGGCAATTGAAAACAGAAGCAGGAAGTGTGGTGTTGGTTTGGGGGCGAGAATGGAAGAGGATCAAAGCATCATTGGGCACTTGCTTGAGAGGCGCACCTTATACAATCGACTCTGCTAACAGCTCCAGACTCTTCCCAACTTTGAAGCCAGAGGCATTTCAGAGCTGCAGGATTTCCTTAAAGTAGCGAAGTAATGCTTCTCAAGCCCGCTAGTCACTGCAAGCTGAACCCAATCCTGCTATTCGTGTTCCTCTGTCCCTAAAAAATGTATAGCATGGGCCTAAGCAGGTTAGACATGCGGGTGAGACAGGTTCGGAGGTGTGTGTCAAGTGAATCAACTTTAGGCTTAATAATAGTTTCAGGTACATGAATACAGAAATGGTAGGTAACCTTAAAATATAATGAAAGACAGAGGGTTGGCTTTGGTCTGTGACAGGCAAATGGGGAATGAGGGCAAAAGCTGAAATTGGTTTGAAATATTTGTAAGAAGAGATGATTTCAGGATACGGTGGTTCCACAGCAGAGAGCAGGGCAATGGGAATGAGGAATTATGTGCACATTTTCGTAACACATAAGACATTGAAATTGCTAACTTTTTAAAATGATAAAACAAACAAACATTTTCAAGTTTTATTTACAAAACTAGTAAAGTTTAAAAATAGGCACATTTTCATAGCATGCAATTAACACTGTGAAATTGAGACTACCAGATTAGATTTAAAAACAAAACTTGCAACAATTTATAAATGTTTTCATTCTGCTTCCACATTATTTGCAGGCCTTCATAGGTTAGAAGGAAAGCTTTCCTCAGTTCAAGGTCTTTGGCCACACAGCTATTTCATTGGTTAGTAGGTTGTGGCAGGATACCATGACGTTTGTTCTGGTCTTCATCAATTGGTATAGCTCATTGGTTTACCAAAAAAGAAAGAGAGAGAAGGGAGGTTGTAACAATTTATCTGCTCTTTGACATTCTGGTTTAAGTTGTATAGGGTGGTGTGTCTTTGGTTGCAGTCTCCTTGAATGATGAAAACTGCTCACTGAAAAGCACAGATTTTTGGCTTAATAATTATCAAAGCAGAGCAGTTAAAAACCCTTGAAATGAAGCAGAGCATTTTAATGCCGCCTGTAAGAATTCCCATTTCCTCATTATTTGTAAGAACACCCAGTGTTAAAAGAATGCATGAGATGATGTAGAGTACAAGCATTTTAGTGAAAAGCATCATAAGAGAACTTCTTGTTTTCCTTGAAACAGGTGCATTGCACTTAAGATGGCCAAAAAAGAGGACAGGACAGAACAGTACAAAGATTTGCATAGTGTTTACATGTTAATTCATAGGTGCACATTTAGAAATAATTACTATAATTTAAATTCAAATAAAATACACCTCATCATAGAGACATGGTGACCCATGTTCTTGCTGGGGCTTCTGTCTGGCTGCTAAATGTTGATGGTCATCATCAAGACCTCTGCTGCTGTCTCTTCTTAGAGTTCTCTGTCTTTCAACAGGACTTTGATCAGACAGTCCCTCAAATAGAAAACACCCTCAAATAGAGGCCTTCTGCTAGCCTTTCATGTAGAGATTGATCTTCTGTAAAGAAGGACACAGGGCTTTTTTCAGCTGGAACTTACTCAGTTCCAGCACCTCTCAGCTGGGTGCCATTGCAATTATAAGAGAACAAGGGAGGTGTTTGTGGTGCATTCCGGCACCTCTTTTTCTAGAAGAACATGTGGCCACCCCATATAATGCTTCTATCTACTGGTCCCTCTCTGGTTCACACAAATGACCAGGGAACATGGTAGGATAAAGTGGCAGCTTGTGCAACATGCAAAGGTGGACTTTCTATGATGGGCGCAAGTGTCTCCAAGAGGGAAAGGCGCCTGCATTTTCCAGGCACACTTCCGGCATTTTCAGCTGTGTAACTGTGCTGAACTTGATGCACTGGAAGCTACATTACGTATGTGTCTTAAAAATAGTGTGGGTGCTTAAAGCTTTTCCAAATTATGTTTGCACCTGGGACTGCTTCATTTCTGATATGATGATCTTAGCTGTGCCTATGTAGTAAAATAACAACTCTTGCCTTGATCAACTCATGTTTGCAGACACTGTGGAGTATGTTGCCCCATGACTAGTAGTGGGGCAATTATAATACAGGGGTAGGGAACCCATGTCAGGGAAGTGGGTGGTGCTGTGGTCTAAACCACAGAGCCTCTTGGGCTTGCCAATCAGAAGGTCGGCGGTTTGAATCCCCACGATGGGGTGAGCTCCTGTTGCTCGGTCCCAGCTCCTGCCAACCTAGCAGTTCAAAAGCACACCAAAAAGTGCAAGTAGATAAATAGGCACTGCTCCGGCGGGAAGGTAAACAGCATTTCCATGCACTGCTCTGGTTTCAGTGTTCCGTTGCACCAGAAGCAGCTTAGTCACGCTGGCCACATGACCCGGAAAAACTGTCTGCGGACAAATGCCAGCTCCCTCGGCCTGTAACGCAAGATGAGCGCCACAACCCCAGAGTAGTCTGCGACTGGACTTAACTGTCAGGGGTCCTTTACCTTTACCTTTAGGGAACCCATGGTCCTCTAGATGTTGTCATAATGCAGCCCCCATCATCAGTGATTGTTGGCCATTCTGGCTGTGGGTGATGGGAGTGGGAATCCAACAACATCTGCAGGGTCCCAATGCCAGATGTGAATTAAACCACTGAAGGAATGGTGTTGATGCAGGTTCATTGTACTTGGGTGGGGCAGAAACTACTAAATAAATCACTGTCCCCAAAAGAAGGAAGCATGACTTCAACTCCCAACACTGACCTCCCTGTAATTTAGATGCATTAGTGTAGGCTCAGAGAGTAGCAGAAGCATTAAATGCCTTTTTTTGTGGAATGATGGCAATAGTGAATCACCAGTGGAGAGGTGAGTTGAGTCCAATTCCATGGGGCTGGATTCCAGCAGAATCCCTTGTTCAGCATTCTGGGCTGCTAAGACGGCTTTCAGGGAAAGAGCAGAGGAAGGTGGGCGTCCAGTATAGCCCAATATTATCTTGACATTTTCACAAGCATTGCAGACAATCTAGGGGATCAGACGTAGCATCCTGAGCCAAGCCACATCTGCTGTGTAGGAAGGTTCACCTGACACCTTCATTATATGCCTTTAGGCACCAGGCAATAATGTTCCACTTTGGATGGTTGACATTCAATGCCCTTTAAAAATGTGTTGGGACAGGGGTTATTGGGTTGTTTTTGTTTTTATTTCAATTATATATTTTGTGTTTTTATCCTGTGAGCTGCCCTGAGACCTGTGGTGATAGGGCAGTAATTTATTATTATTATTATTATTATTATTAATCATAGTAATAAAAAGCAGAGGGGAAATCCCAGCCAACTGCAAACTCTGCTTTGAGTTTTGCAAGGGAGCAGCCTGCAAAGAGGGAACATGGCCAGGGGGTTTGCATTATCATGAAAACCATTTTGTAAAAGGTCCCCTTTTGACTTGTGAACAGAGCACATCTGGGAACCAACTTGGCATATTTCAGATCAATATATGAATCTGTTCATTTTGGACTAGTGCTGGAGAACCTGTGGGCCAGATCAGGCCTGCCAACCCAGGGGTCAGCAAACTTTTTCAGCAGGGGGCTGGTCCACTGTCCCTCAGACCTTGGGGGGGGGACTATTTTTTTGGGGTGGGGGGATGAACGAATTCCTATGCCCCACAAATAACCCAGAGATGCATTTTAGATAAAAGCACACATTCTACTCATGTAAAAACACGCTGATTCCTGGACCATCCACGGGCCAGATTTAGAAGGCGATTGGGCCAGATCCGGCCCCCAGGCCTTAGTTTGCCTAGCCATGCCTTATAGCACACCAGTCCCAGACCTGAATTTCTTTTTTCTCTGACGGGAAACTTGAAAAGACTTCCTGAGATTAGAGCAGGGGAATTCAAAAGGCTTTGCTCCCAGCTGGGAAACTGGGAGACAGATTGCTTCCTGTACCCATGTGCTGTATGTATGTAGCTGGGCTGAGCATGTGAGCCATATGTATGTCTGCATGAGCATATATGTACTGTGTGCCGTGAGAGGCATTCGGCCCTCTGAGGGATGTCTATCCTGCAATGTGGTCCTTCAGCTGAGAAAGTTTAGCCACCCCTCCTTCAGGTCCTTTTCTTCAGAATTTTGCCATGTTGCTTAATGCTTAGCAATACACCAATAAGCAATTTACAAATATTTGCAGTGCAAAATCAATAAATAACAAATGCCAAATAAATAACGAATTGCCAAAAGCCAGAGAACCATATATCAATGGAATTGACTCTTGTAATGCCAGGAGATGATAGATATAGATAGATAGATTCTGGTTTGCTTTGAAACTGAAGCCTGTTGTTTGCCATGTGCTTAAATCTCTGAATGTTTCTGCCTTCCACCAATTGTTGTTTATGGTCTTTGAAGTCTGTTTTCCCAACGTTTTTCAGAATGCTCAAGAGCCTCATGGAGTGGCTGTGCCAACGCCATCAGTACCAGAAGGCTTTGAGGAAAAACCAGCTCTAGGTAAGATGACAGTTGTTAAGATGACAGTTGTTAAATCAACAACTCCTGCTTTGCACATGTACACCATTCAATTCAGCTTGTCCCAGACCTTTGTACTGATGATCTTTTGACATCACTATTGACTTCCTTGCAACAGCAGCACAATGACACACACTGTGGTACCGCACAGTCATAGGGACACAGAAGCTGGAGTCAGGTGATTGGTCCACCTACCTCAGTTTTCCCAGTAGTGATGTATGGAAGTGAGAGCTGGACCATAAAGAAGGCTGATCGCCAAAGAATTGATGCTTTTGAATTATGGTGCTGGAGGAGACTCTTGAGAATCCCATGGACTGCAAGAAGATGAAACCTCTCCATTCTTAAGGAAATCAGCCATGAGTGCTCACTGGAAGGACAGATCCTGAAGCTGAGGCTCCAATACTTTGGCCACCTCATGAGAAGAGAAGACTCCCTGGAAAAGACCCTGATGTTGGGAAAGATGGAGGGCACAAGGAGAAGGGGACGACAGAGGACGAGATGGTTGGACAGAGTTCTCGAAGCTACCAGCATAAGTTTGACCAAACTTTGGGAGGCAGTGGAAGACAGGAGTGCCTGGCGTGCTCTGGTCCTTGGGGTTACAAAGAGTCGAACACGACTAAACGACTAAACAACAAACAACCTCAGTGTCATTGTCAGCAAAGACTTGCAGTGACTTTGCAGGATTTCAAGCAGGGTTCTCTCTCAGCCCTACCTGGAGATGCTGGGGATTGAACCTGCAAAGCAAATGAGATACCAATAATGAGCATTTTAATGTGGCATCCTGTTATTTTTTATAGCAGGACATTTTTAATGATCAATTAAAAACAAACCAGAAAGCACTTTACATTTATTTTAAAATATTCACCATTAGTTCAGTAGTTTCTGTTAGAACATGTTCCAGCTTGAGAACATGTCTGAGAACTTCTAGAAATCTATGCTGAACCTAAGTCCGACTCAGAGTAGACTCGCTGAAAGCAATGGACTGAAGTTACTCATGATGACTAACTTTCGCCCATTTGTTTCCATAGGCCTACCTGGAGTATCACTTGGTTGGATATCACCCAAAATATTTAGTGTTGCTAACAGGAAGACAGCTTGGCACCGAGTTAAGGGCAGCTATCATAAAGCTGAATCAACCTCTTCAAGAGCACGTTCAGCTAGTTTCTGCAGTCAGGCAGCCATGGCAATTATCAGACATATTAAAAAATATAAAGTTACTTCCCTGTTAATAAGTCAGTCTTGTTTGCTACAGCCGCATATTCACTAGGAAACGGGCAAGTATTCGCCCTGCTTGTTTTGATATCAGCCCAGGAAAAGGCTGCCAGTCTTGCAGGCTCCAGTATCTGTTCCTGCATTGGGAGGAACATTTCCTGGACACCAGCTGTGTGGAGTGCTGAATGTAGTTTCACAGAGCAGCTATTAGAAAAAACCATTAGATTCCCATCGAGATTGCTTTGCTGGTTGTTCTAGAAAATGTAGATGTTACAGTGGTAGATGAATGTTTCTGTTGGGTCACCACCCAGCCTACACAAATGGTATGTTGGGGGCTGTTTAAACCAGAGCATCGACAGATAGGTGCCAGAAAAGGAGCTAATCCCTCACCTGTGCCAGTCACTCTAAAATTAAAGCAGTGATGTTTCAAATCGGAAGGTGATCCAGCACCGGCAGCAAAAGAGCTGGGAAGAAGCAGTTTCAGGAGAAAACTGGCCATTCAAATGACTCCTGTGTTTCCATAATGTGTGGTTTTGCTCTGTAGCTCTAAACTAGATGTGACTTGCTCAGTGCATATTTGCATTTACTGTGCAGGTTTTTAAAACTGCAGATAGCACTAGCTGGGGAAGGGTACTCCAAAGCAAACAGCATATTCAAGTGGAAGGATCTTCCTCAAATCTGCAGTAGGGGAGGATAGACTTCAACTCCCTCTCCTCACCTTTTGTGGTCCCAATAATTATCAGCTCCCGCCTCCTACAGCTGATCTTGTTTTCATTTGTAAAAACCTGCTCAATTAGATGTAAATGTTCATTTAATGAACTACATCTTGTTTGGCCCTTACTCTGCTTCAGCAAAAGAAACAAGGCAGTTATCTAATCATCTGGGAGGTTGCATAGCTCAGTTGGTTACAGTGCGGTGCTGATAACACCATGGCTACAGGTTTAAGCCTCATATGGGGCAGCTGCATATTTCTGCATTGCAAGGGGTTGGACTAGATGATCCTCAGGGTCCCTTCCAACTCTATGATTCTATGATTTTTTGATCCAGATGATGGAGCTCCCTCCAATTACCTGCATAGACCTCCTTTGCATGCACAGGAGATTCTGAACCACATGTGAGCACACATGATTCTCTGGAATGAGTCAAGAACTGCTGTGTGGTTGCCATGTTACTGATAAAGTTTCCCTTTTGCATCTCCAATTTGTATCAGTTTCAGAATCTGAAAGAGTTTCTGAAAACTGATAAAAGCTATTTAGTTAGAAAAAACTGTCAGGGACCAAAGCAGTCTTCTCAGTTTCATGGAATTCTAAAACTTATCCAATGCCCTCCATCAGCACAAGAATTTCCACTTGCGTAACAGAACCCAGCCCCATTTCCTCTCCCTGCCCACACACTGCACCAGGGGTGCCAACTTGAATAAAATATTGTGGGGACCCAGGTAAACCCCACCCCACATAATCAATCACATGACACAGTGTACACACACCATTTGAATGGGAATGCCCATCAACTTTGTGGGTGCTTGGCCCCCTCAAATATTTTATTGTGGAGCCCAAAGCATCCAAGGCCCCTAGGAGTTGACTCCTATACCCAGCACCTTCCCCAAATTTGCTCCAAAGGGCTGGGGGGAACCCCTCCCCCCCCCGAGGGGTGGGGGAAGGGAGATCCAGTATGCAATTGCCAATACTTGTGCTGACAGAATGAACGCTCACTCCTCCGATTGTGGGTGCCCTTTGCAGGACCGTGCACAGGACCCCCAAGCCACGTGAGAATTGCCAGCTGGTTGTGCTGGCCCGCCCCCCTGAAGTCACAGTTGTTGGGGGTTCCCACCAAACTCCTGTTCAAATAATCCAATCAGCGGCTTTGGTGGAGGCGGGGCCAGCTGAGCGGACCGCAAGTGAGCAGGCTTCACTCCAGTCTGCTCGAGGTGAATAAAAGGGGGGCGGACAGAATGTGTTACTTAGAATGGAAGGAAACCAAAAATAGAAACTATTATGAATGGACTTGTATGAATTTATGTCTGTTTCTTCATTTTTCAGTGAAAGGGGGCCATGTTTGGGGAAGCTTTTAATGTTTAATAGGTTATTGTATTTTAGTGTTTTATTGGAAGACGCCCAGAGTGGCTGGGGAAACCCAGCCAGATGGGCGTGGTATTAATAATAATAATAATAATAATAATTTATTATCCCCGCCTACCCATCTTATTAAAGAGTTTCTCAGCATTGCCTAACAGAAAATGTTTGCCTGCCTTAATATTGACTAAATTGAGAGACCACCTTAACACCACTGTATGTGTTGTTTTCTCCCCAGGACTAGCATCTCAGATCAATGGCAATTACAGAAAGTACAATTCGGTTCTTGATCTGAGGCCCAAGGCATTTGAAGAGAACTACTTGGATGATGAATACATTCCACCACCACCACCTGTTCCCCCTCCTCCACCACCACCAATGGTTGACGTACCACCACCTCCGATGGAAGTTCCACCACCACCTCCGATGGAAGTTCCACCTCCACCTCCCATGGAAGCTCCACCTCCACCTTCTGTGGAACCCCCACCCCCACCAATGGTGCCTCCACCCCCGCCACCTCTTCCAGGAATGCCAGCGCCATCTCCTTCATCCCTGGCTCCACCTTCATTCTCATATTCCAATTTGTCTTCCCCCAGTACTCCATCCCCACCAGACTTCATTCCTCCTACTCCTCCGCCTCTGGCTTTTAGGGATGGCAAAGCCCCTCGTATGCCTCCCATTTCACCAGCGCTTCACACCCCACCATTCTCCAATGGTGTGTCCAAATGGAAATCTGAGACTGTTCTGAACCTGAGGCAGCCCGAAACCATTTTCCCCAATCCGAACCTTGCTTCTCCAAGCACTCCCACCCATAAGGTGTCACTATTGCCACAATCCAGCCCAGAGCCTCACCTTACCTTTCCGAGGTCGTTAAAAGTACCTCCCCCGACTCCCGTGAGAACGTCCTCTATATCCTCGGCAGAAAAAGAATCCAGTCCAAGAGATGAGCAGCTCCCCAAGTTGACTCCTCATAGCCGACCTGCCCTGCCATCTAACTTTACTGTACGAAGTGCAGCCACGGTTCACCCAGAGGGAGAAGTCGCAGGGAAAGCCACAGTGGAAAAGCCTTCCATGTTAACCACAGAGGCTGGAAGTTCAAAACGGACATCAGATTCTAATGGCTCCTCTGCCTCCCTGCTGAAGCAAGAGGCACCCCCAGGCAAAGAAACAGATTCTTCGGACTGGGCGTCCTCTGATGATGAAGACTGGAAGGAACGCAGCAACCTGGACAAGCTAAAGCATGAATTGTCTGCCCTGCTGTCCTCTTCGTGCAGAAAGGAAGACAGGCCACTAGACAGAACTGTATCTCCCAAGACTAAAGCCAACGTTACCAACAGCAACCAAGTTATTCCAGATGAACCAAAACAAGCTAGGCCTGCCGTGACAAGCCCAAAATCACCAGCGGTTACAGAAAGCGAAGGGAAAGGAATCAGGCCTGCTAATACACCTTCCATGGGCAAAGCATCCCCCAGTGATGCTTCCTCAACCCTAGACAACAAATCCACCTCTGTGCAAGCAAACAGTGTTTTGAAATTCAAAGATGAACTGGAAGCCTTGTTGTCACCAACCAAGGACGGGGGGCCACCTTTGGCTTTTGCAAACCTAAGACATACTCCAGAACCAAAGAAGCAAGTTACTCTTCAGTTTGGTGGCAGCCAGACCAATAGCAGCGAGCCCGGGCTTCCAAAACCCACAGCAAGTCCGAATACACCAACGAAGGAAGTGACAGAGAAAGAGCCTAAGATTTCTAGCACCTCTGCTGGCCACTCAGCACCTGACAACACTTGCAAACCCCCAGCCTCTCCTCTGAAACCAAAGAATGAACTCTTGGTTCCATCTGCACCTTCACCAGCCTCTTCTGGCACGGCCTCACCTCTACTAAATGCATCTCCTAACACGGATTTCTCTCTTTTCCAATATAAGATGCACAGGACGAGGTTTGGTTCCATTGACAGCCTGGCTTCTGCGAGTTCTTCCCAAACGACAGAAGATGGAACCACCAGCACAAATAATAATGAAAACCAAAGAGACTCAGCTGAGCGCAGGCCCTCAGAGACATCCACATCCTCTTGGAAGACAGAGAAAATGAATAGTGAAGTTTTGGTTCACCCTGTTACAGGAGAAAAAGTAGAGAGGGGATCCCCAATGGCTCTCCTCTTAGCTGCACAACAGAGGGCCCAAAGAGGTAGATCTTCTGCCTCTGCCTCCCGACAGAACAGCTATTTGTCAGAGAGGCCCCAGTTCAAGTTATCAGAGAAGTTGCACAGCAACAGCCAGTCAGAGACTGGGTCACCCACTATTTACTACAGTGACTCCAAGCCCAACTCTGTCACGATTGTACCAAAGTCTCCTCAAAAGGAATCACTTGCAGCCTCCGAAAACAAGCAGCGTAATGGAGCAGGTATACCTGACAGCAGCACCTTGGGCTTGTCAGAGGGACAGAGGGATCAGAAGCCTCAGACATTTTCCAGTGCCTCAGAACAATGTGGGAATGCGCAGAAGGTCAAGGAGATGAATGTCTCCCAGAATCTTCCCTCATCAAACAGGCATGGGACTTCCATGTTAGTTCAAGGCCTCCTAAGTCACAGTAGGCAGGAAGCTCCCTTGCACTCTCTCACAGCACCCCAAAACCATGCCAAAGACAACAACGATGAGGTGGAAGAGGGTTTTGATTATGAGATCATACCCCCTCCACCCGAGTTCAGCAACGATGCCCAAGTGGTCCCAGACGATTCTTCAAAAGGGGAGGAGAACCACAAAGCCCTTAATATCCCAGGTGGCAACCAGGCCTCAAATAAGCAACTCAATTCCAACCCTTCAAGCTATAACTACAGTAACAGTTATTCCCTGACATCCAAATCAATTCTGGAAAACAGCATGAGGCCCAGTGCATATAGTCACCATTACCCAGGTGGGAGCTACTCCTCTAGCTACCTCAGTTCCTATGACAACAGCCGTCCTCTGATCAAGAAGCGCCTTTATGTGACAGAGACGGATAGGTCGTATAGCCGGCCCACCATGTCTTCTCGCAGCATGAGCACACCCACCTCCTCCTACGGCCACAGTACAATGTCATACAACTCTCAGGCTGCGGAAGGGATGCGCAGGGCCAACTCCACTCACAGGAATGGTCCAAACAGTGCACAAGGGCGAAGGGTGTCCCTGGAATTACCTGGGAAGATGGTGACTTACAGTAATGCTGCCAGTGAAGCCATGTATAAAGGCCAGAACGGAGAGTACACTACCAACACAGCAGCTGCTGGCAGGTATGTTCCACTTGCCATAAATGCAGGAATTGTGATGTGATCTGGGAGCTTCAAGGAAAGTGTTGCTGGCAAGGTGTAGGCATGCAGGCGACAACTATAAAATCCTCCAGTACGCACTGTCTATTGTGGAGGTGGGGAAACCTTTTTCAAACCAGGGGCTTCATTCGCTTGCGGTGGGCAACCTTCCAGGGACCGCCTGCCAGTAGTGGGTGGGGGCAAGGGATATGACTCCTATGTTTGTACAGTTGGCTCCACTCCAGCCATGCAAAACTTAGAAGTGCTTATGTATGGCTCTCTGGACCCGAGGCTCTCCACCCCCAACCTAGTAGATCCAGTCCTTTCCCCCTCTCTAGAGAAGAGTAGAAAATCCCTGACGGGCCATTTTTTATCACATTCTTCTCAGTACCCCACACAAGACGTAACTGACTGTACTTTTGAATAAATAAGGTATACTATCCATTGTTTCAAATTGTAGATTTCAACAGAAGTCTCATAAAGTTCAATGAAAAAAGCAGAAGACCCAGTGGATCAGTTCATTCTATATTCCGTTCATGCATCAGGTCCATACATGTATAAGTGTCTATTCCACCTGTCAGTTCCTAGAGTCCAGTAATCCACATGAAGGGTTGTTACAGTTCCACAGAATTCTTTCACAGAGTCTAAGACAAGGACTTCTGGAATATTAGCCTTTCACCAGCTGACTCATGCAGAAGTGCAGGACCACTGCAAGCGCCAGCTCAACCTCTTTCCTGAGCTTGGCGGTGGCAGCACTGGAGGGGGGAAACGGGACATTCTGGGATCAAAGTAATTCTGGGATGTCCCAGGAAAATCAGAACTCTTGAAGGGTATGTAATCACAATACCAGATTTAGGTGAAGAGCAAGGAAAACTGCACATGTGAAGCACTTTTCCTCTTAAAATCAGCATGTCTGTTTGGCAAGGTTATTGATTGCATAGAAAACATTCAAAATGCATTGAGCTGGGGCTGAGCAAAAATCATTTTCTTACTTTCCCACCCCATATTGCTTCTCTGGACTTTGTATTATATTGTATGATTAATTATTTCTATTCATGTGGTGACATTTTTGTTTTTCTCCCTTCCCTCTTCAGAGCCTCTCATGGAAATCAACAATATAGTGGAACTGCAAATACATTTACCGTCAGGCCTGGAGCACGACAACCCATTTCTTATTCGTACCAAGGAGGTCTTCGATAAGGCATGTACGAGGAAGCTGTATCGCCTTGCATCAGCTTTGGCCAAGTTATAGGCCTCGTCCTCTCTGCTTTGTTCCGACTCTTCCTCTGATAGCTGTAAAATGAGGCACAAGAGCCTGTCCTAGACTGAAAGTAGTCCAAGCGTCCGCTTGTAAATAGACTGTTTGTAAGTTATTAGGGACAAGGTAAGAATGAGTTCTAAGGGCTTCTGTGCAAAATGGATAAGGGGGCAAATTATACCACATAGTCACTCAGCAACCTTTGCTTAAAGCATTTAAGTAATTACATAGACTTCCTAGTGACTAGTGCTAGCTTGGCCTGTAGAAGATTATATCTAGACTAGCAGTTTATGGAAGAAATTTTCAGCACCGTCTTCCTTCTTGAAGTGCATCTGACACTTCGAAGCAGCAAAGAAAGGATGGATGCCTTCATCCTAGTGGGAGGCAAGGAACAGAAGAGGAATCCAGCTGCAGAAAAGGAGAGCAGGAGGAGAGGTTAAGAGGGGGAGTTGAATGGCAGTGGCCCCAATAGCTATGTGGGGCCAAGAATTGAAATTTGAAGAGCCTAGTGGTTGGAAGAAGATGGTATAGTAGTAGGGAAGGGGGAGAAGGTTTAGAGGGATAAAGCAGAAGAAAGGAAGTAGATGAGAGGGACTAGGATTACTTACTTTTTCTGGTAGCTGTGGCTTTAACACAGGGATGGAGAACCTGTGGTCCTCCTGGTCATGTTGGACTTCAGTTTCCATCATCTCTTACCATTGTGGCTGAAGCTGATGGGAGTTGGAAGTCAACAACCTCTGGAAGGCCATTAGTTCTTGGTCCCTGCTTTAATAACTCCACAAAAAGAGAAAATTAAGCTGCTAGGATTTATTTATTTTTCATCACTGAATCTCCATGTCAGGAAAAGCCAAACTTACTGGATTTCCATTTGTCATGCAAGTACAAAAGACACAGGAACCTTGAGAGAAGTCTGCTAGCCTAGGAGGCGTTGTCAGACCCAGGTGTTATTGAATCCATTGGAAATAACTGAGATTGCACCTTCTTCAAGACAATTCTACAGGTCAATTTTTAGACTAGGAAGTTTTGCGTTTTGTATGACTCACCTCTAGAGACAAGAATGAGACTTCACAGCATTCACTAATACCCATACAATACAAATACAGAATATTAAGAGTATTACTGTCACTTTAAAATCCAACTTGTTAATTGAATTTTTGGGGAGAGGTTTTAATTAAGAAACTGCACCAGGATAAAATGAGTTGAAATGCCATATTTGCCAGGATGCAGTCTGGAGATCCTGTTTGTCTCCTTAAAAGAACACAGTCACTGTGACCCCTGACCTGTGCCTCCATTGGTCCTTTCACCTTTGCCTTGCCTACTGTGGTGGAAAACTAATCACAGCAAGCAACAGGATATGGGCAGAAGAACAGAATGGGAGGCGTAAAAGGCTGTATCTTTCTTCTGCTGTCCTGGAAATTTTTTAAGGAGATTGGACCCATCTCCTTTGCAGTCTGAACATCTTACATACAAAGTGACAAAAGATGTCAAAGTGGGCACCAAACAATTTGGTTTTAAGGTGTGTGTGTTTTAACATTATGGGGCATTAAAAACTTTAGGTGCTGGCACCTATAAAAATTAAAGCCAAGTTATATATTGATGTATATCAAAGAAGCAATGCAGGTTTAAAGTTCGGCTCTGTAAATGTGAGCCTTGCAGCCTGATCCTTTGAGTAAGTTTTATTGAGTCAATGAGATTTACTTCCAAAAAGCTAAGTATGGGATTGCATTAACCCACCTTGGCTTCTTTGCCCATTTATGAGAGCTGTTCATTCTATGTGTTGAATTTGTTGGTCTGGTCTCTGTTTAATGGCTGACAAGTGTCATGTTTTTGTCAGTGATTACGTGATAAACCTGGATAGCTTATTCCTCAATTAGTCCCATGTTGACACATGCAGCAGCAGCAACTTTCAAGACTGCAAAAAACCAAAAACACCCCACCTCGCAAAAAAAATTCTGTGGATTTTGAAAGAAAACTACTACATACCCAGTTATTATTATTTATTGAAGTTACATCTCACCCTTCCTCTTGAATAGTTTTTCACACTTGTAGATAGTACTGTAAACAATAAAATGTGCAGGGTGGCTAACTTAAAACTATTGAATTCTGTGGCTCTATTCAAAGTCTGACTTAGATGGATACCACTCATATAAAGCTTGCTGATTTGGCCTGAAAACAAACACTCTTTCCTGTCTCGTTTAGTCTTGGCTCTTGTCCATTTATTTTGTTGTTGTTGATGACATCCGTCTGTCTTGGGAGACAATAGAAGAGTGCTCCTTTGGGAATGAAGTCAAACTGTTAAGAGAGTTACAGCACCTGCTGTGGCTGTAGAAACCAATGCAGGAGAGACATGTTTTGTTGCAGCTGGGGCAGATGAAGACATCCAGTTGTGCTGCTGCAGATGCACCATGGTATTTCTTCTGCCTGCGCTCCTCCCAGCGGCCATTCCTCCTCTGGTCACTTCAATTTATTTAGGTGGCTGGTATTACTCTGTTCCCTAGGACTGCTTCATACATACAGCGGGTGGCGCTGTGGGTTAAACCACAGAGCCTAGGACTTGCCGATCAGAAGGTCGGCGGTTCAAATCCCCACGACGGGGTGAGCTCCCGTTGCTCGGTCCCTGCTCCTGCCAACCTAGCAGTTCGAAAGCAAGTCAAGTGCAAGTAGATAAATAGGTACGGCTCTGGTGGGAAGGTAAATGGCATTTCCGTGCGCTGCTCTGGTTCACCAGAAGCGGCTTAGTCATGCTTGCCACATGACCCGGAAGCTGTATGCCGGCTCCCTTGGCCAATAAAGCGAGATGAGCACCGCAACCCCAGAGTCGGTCATGACTGGACCTAATGGTCAGGGGTCCCTTTACCTTTATTACTCTGTTCCCTAGGACTGCTTCATACATACAGTGGCCAAGTACCACACAGGAAAGGGTTCCTGTACCTTTGAGTCCTGTATTTTAAGGGATTTTAGCTTGCCATGTCATGGTGCTACAGTTGCCTTTTTCATGCATTACTGCCTTGCCCTGCCCCACCTCTCGCACGTTTTCTGCACATGAACCCATAGACTTGGATCCTAACATAAATTAGCTTAAAATATGTTAAGAGAAGGAATGTTTCCCATCCTGTCCTTCCGCATGGTGTCCTATGCACTCACACATACCCAAATCCTCTCTGGAAGGTTGTTGGGGCCCTCTGAACAATATGGGATGAGTTGTGGGTGGGAAGGAAGTGATGGGAAACTTTATTTCCATGAGCTTCCTTTAGTTAACTTATTTCAAGACCTGAACCATTATGTTTAGAAGCTGCAAAACTCTCTACATTATGCACACAAGTCCCTCGAGTGTTTTCCAAACATTATAGGCCCCCCCTCCCCGCACAATGTACAGCAGTGTTGGGGAAATGTAACATGAAACAGTCTCAATGCCTTATACTTGCATGCGTGGTTTGCCTGTATTATTGATTTGGAGGCTGCCTTTTCCAGACATGCAATGTTCTAAATTAGTTGCTGCTAAGGGAATAGCCATATGAGATAGGGGAACAAGCGACTTATATTCTCAGCCCTTATTGAGGATTTTTCAATTCATTTCAGATTGCCAATACTTGTAAAAGATCACCATATTTTTAAAAGTTATAAAGCTGAAACAAGCTTGTGTAGTAGTTTGCCATCATAAGGCAATGTAAAGAACTGTAAAATAGATGTAAAGCATGTAGAGAATAAATTGTATTATGGAAAAATAAAGCACTTTGAGACAAGCATAGGGTTGCCATACCTCTGGAATTTCCCAGACATATCCGGAGTACTGCAGTTGGCAGCAATCCAGGCAGAAATCGGCTAAATGTCAGGGGAACACCCCCCCAACCCCCCAAATTCAACAACTTTGCCAAAAAGAGCTCAACAACTTTTCTTTCCGGAATTTCACTGTTTGGAATATGGCAACCCTAGACAAGGGTATTGAATGCACTTTTTAATTTTCCTCCATATGCAGCATCTCTTTAGTTCACTAACAGTGCAATCCTATACATGTTTACTCAGAAGTAAGTCTTGTGCAAGTTCAGTGGGGCTTGATCCCAGGGAAGTGTGTATGGAATTGCATCCATACACTTTTTCAGATAATGTGTGTACATGTGTGGAAATATGTATATGTAAATTTCACGCAGTATTCTAGCGCCTTAAATTTAAGAATGATTCTCGACTATAGTCACTTAAAAAACAATTTTACAATAAGTGTGTGTACATGTAGAAGCCATAGTTTGTTTATTTGCCATATATTATATGAACAATCAAAAATAACTGGCTTTCTTTTTCAATAGTGATAATATTCAATAAATTCCAAACTACTTTTCTGCTCTGAGTAAAACAAGAATGCAAAAGTTACTGTTAGTGGCTATAATCAACAGTGAGTTGTGCATGGACAAAGTTCATAAACAAGCTGTAATACTGGCAGCCGTCACATCTATGTTGGACGCATTAATCCATAAAGGTACATGATTCTGTGCATCATTATGCATGCTTCTCATGTGATAGTGTGAAAAGAGCAGAGCATGATACAAATAGTTCATTGAAGAGCTTTGCACGGAATTGGTGAGCAATACCAATGCAAAATTAATACTCCCAACACTGAATATTTTGCCACCCCTCCTTCAAATTGTGTCAGTGTTTTTTGAACCACAGAACTCAGGATCAAAGCCTGTGGCATCCTATTGTTAACAGCACATGTTGTCAGTAAACCCCGTTTTCGGGTCTTCCTCTTAGATAAGACAGCATAGGATTCTAACCCACATATCCATATATTAAACATTTAAGTAGTACTGCCAAAGATTGGTACCCAATGTAACTGCTGTACCAAAGAATATATTATATTTTTAAACATTAATGAACACCAAAGGAATCAGTAACTTACCACTTGTAAATTATTGACAAAGCCTGCAAAGGGCTTCTGGTTTGCAGTACCTAACATATGAGAAATATTGGAAGCTTCATTTGTGAAAGAACAAATGTAATTTTGACTGCAGTTGCGTAAAATGTCCGCTCTGACAAAAGTCCCATTGACAAGAGGTGATTTTGAAATTATTGGTTTTCTTTCATCCTGTGAGACAACAAATTGAAATAAAAAGTTGAACTCCAAAGCTTAATTTTAAAAGTCAAGCTCCGGGGAGAACATCCCTGGAGCCAAAGGAGAAATTGGATTTCTTCCAGAATCTGATGTCAGATGCCCCTGGCTCCATTGCTGTGGAATTTTTTGTGGTCATGGCCCTTTATGGTACAGCCAAAAAAATGATGCACTGGGAATGGTTTGCCGCTGCATTCGGCTCCACCCCGGCTCCTCTTGATGTCCTGGCATTGTGTGTATGACTTCAGCTCCCCCAATCACCCTGGCAAGCTGGCACATCTGGTCTAAGAGTGACTAGGATAAAATATTGGCTCCCAAAGGATCCAGCTCCTTCCTGGGCACCTAACAGCCCCCCAAGCCCATAACAAATTTAAGCCAGCACAGGAGATTGTTTCATATGGGAAGGAAAATACTTTCCTTGGGCAGGGACACTGATTAAAAAAAAGAGGGAAGATTGCAGGAGCACTCCTCCAACCTCATTTCCAACCCTGCTTGGACAGGCGCTACTGCCTTTGATCACCACCACACCCTACCATAGGATTGTACAGTAACTGTTACACTAATAAATAATAATAAAAGGTTGTCTTCAGTTGGAACACCCAAAACCAAAGCAATGTATCAAACCAAATTCAGCAAAAATATATCCATTGTTTCACTGCAGGTACTGCTTTGTATGCTGCAACATTACCAAGACTTTGGATTAGAAGAAAATGCAACATAACCCAGTGGGTTGGTTTTTTTAAGATATGCACGGAATAAGGTGGCTTTTTGTCAATGGTTTTTTTTTTTGCCAGAGCTTATTGGACTCAGACTTTGTGTGCATAAGCTTTGCTTCAAAGAATTTGGCTTACAGCTCTAGCCTGCAGCCCTCCTCGTTTTCATTCCAGAGAGCAGACAAAAATCTCCACATCATGCAGTGCAAGCACAGTACAGTACATGAAATGTACGTATAGCCTTGAAGTATTGCTTTCAGTTTTTTTAACATAGTAAAGCTATAATCTTTGCAGCTGTGCAGACATGCTTGTGGGAGAAGAATCATAAACTGGGAAGGGGAGGGGCATGCTCTCTCATATTTTAAGCAGCCTGGTCTACGAGCTGTGCTGGATCAGGCCAATGACCCATCTATGCCAGCATTCTGTTCTCACACTGGCCAACTAGATGCCTGTGGGAACCTTATGAATAGATGAGGACAAGAGCACAGCACTCTCCCTACTAGTGCTCCCCAGTAGCTGGTGTTCAGAGGCATACCACTGCCATGCCAAGTTTGTTGCCATGCAGGTTGACAGAAAAAAGCATCAGATTCAAAAGATGCTGAATTTCAGCTGCCTTCCTTTTCAAACGACTCAAAACTTTCCTGCCCCAAACATCCTATGAAGCCAGGCATGGGAAAGGGATGTGCAGTTTACCCTGAACAGGCCTAATTAGGCCCACAAATTAATGCTTCCTACCACCGCTTTAGATACCATCTCATTCTGGTCGTGTACACAAACTCTGCTTTTGTAGGCAACTGGGGATAGGTTTTTGGCTTCCAGGTAGATGATCCATATTAATCCAGCCTCCACCTCCTTTGCTGTTGTCTTTAATATCAAGACCAGATGAGTCATCTTAAGTAGAGATGCACATCTGATGGGGCAACATGAGCAGAAAAGCTTGTTCTGCTGCTTACGAAGACTCAAGCTATAAATAGAAAACACATGTCTTCAAAGCTGCCCATACAACTACTTTCAGCAAGCCCTAACAGGAGAGTCTTTTGAAATGGCAAATACTTGCATTAATCCTCTCAGAGGCACAAAGCAAAACTCTCTGAAACTTAAAAAACACAACCATCCTTGATTTTGTATAATGGGCATCTTAAGTGTACAAGTGAGTTCATGTCATTTTAAAATGGCGGCAAAGGCACTGTGAGATCCCAGGAAGTTAGCAAAGAAAAGAGGCAGAATTTGACCAAACATGTTTGGGAAGCAACTTTTGGGATACTAAGCTGAGACCCAAACCTGACTCATCTGAAACCTTGTGCCCAGAACACTATTGGATTCCACGCTCTGCTGAAAAACTCTCTATTTAAAAATATTTGGAATCAATATTTCCCTTCTTCTGCGCACAGCCAGGGAGCATATTCCTAACTGCTGGAAGAATTACTGAAAAAATTATTAGTAAAAACAATTAAAAGCAACTATTTAAAAGGTTTTTCTAAAATTAAAAAAAATCAGCTATAGACTAAAAATAAATTAAAACACATGCCAACATTTTGCATATGTAGGTAAGTTTGTCTAAACAAGAATGTGCTTAGCAGGTGCCGAAAAGCACAAAAAAAGCCCCTGCCCCTGTCAAGTAGGCAGGGAGATCCACATTAAAATACCGATTTCTTACAAATGCAGAATGATTATTATGGGGTGTAAGTTTCACAGACTGAAGTGACTGACTGGGCAAATATGGGGCAAGGTTATAATGGAGGCATACTGGTCCCAAGCTGTTAAGGGCTATATATATTAACCGTAACACTTTTTGAGCTTGGCCTGGTAGCAAATCAGAGCAGTTTTCTGCTCACTGATGTTATATGGTGACAAGGTCTTAGTCCATTCTGCACTAAGTGCAGCTTCCAGATCAAACTTAAGGGAACATTGGACATTGCAGGTCCATCTGACAATCTTGCCAAAAGGGTTTCTACTCACAAGTGAGCAGCTAGGCAGGTCATAAACTACCCAACTATGCTACTTACCTGCAACTCAAAAGATAAGGATGCAGCTGAAAGGTTAAGCCTTTTCTACAAAGGGGCTGATCTTTGCTGTGTAATTTTCCACTTTCAGAAAGCTGCAACATTACCGTTCAAGCTAATTCTATCAACTAGCTCATACAGCAAACCCAACAAAGAATCTTGTGATACTATAAAGGATGGGCAGCCCACCTGGTACCCTCCAGGTATTTTGGGCTACAGCTCTCACCATCCCTGACCAGGGGTCAAGCTGGCTGAGAGTAATGCGTGTTGTAGTCCAACAATTTCTGAAAGGCATTAGGTTGGCTTCCCCTGCTCTAAAGACTAACAGGTTTATTGTGGTCTAAGTGTTTGTAGATGAGTCGACTTCCTCAGATCTAGCAGTCTTTCAGGCGCCTGTTGCAGTTTCTTTAGCAGGATTCATCAGAATGGAAGAGACAATATGAGATAAAGTCACACATCAATATAATTTTCCACACCAAACTTTTCAGGTTATACTTACATGGGAATCTCACATTCAGCAAGGGAAAACTTTGACCATTTTAGACTAAGAAATAAGCAACAGCTGCCACCTTGTGGTACAAAAAGAAACCCAGTATAGAAAAATGTACAAAGCTATTAAGGCAGAGTTCAGATACTAGGCAAGCACAGCAGGGTGTGGCGGTGGTGTTTTGAGGTGCAGGATTCGATACAACCCCTCCGCCACACTGAAGTGACATCGGTGATATATGTGGAGGCTCACATTTTTCCCCATCCCATTTTTTTAAAGGGAAAATTGTGATGAAACAAAAGTGGAACATGTGCACCACCTACCAGTGACTCATTACTCACACTGCAGTTTGTGTACGTCGGAGGCCTGCCCTAATTTCTTGCTGAAAACTACCCACTCCACATGGACATTTCCAGCTTTTGAAGCCTCTAACCATAATAAGAACATTACAACACCTGAACACAACATAAGGCACCAAAAGCAAAGCAGGGCACATTCAGCTAATGCTTTTCTAGCCAAGGTGCGTCACATTTTGGCCTGATGGGTATAAAAAAAGGTTGCGAATCGTGTTCCCCAAATTAACAAGTGACTAAATTTGAGACCCTCTTTGAGATTGAGCCCCTGGACCAAGTGGGTATCCTGCCCCACCCCCCGAATTGGCCCTGGTGAGAGGACAATATGGATTGAGGACCTGCTGTTTATTTCCTTAAAAAGTGGCTAATTTATGCTCCCCTCAAAATGGTGACTAGTGAAACATGTAGTTTCGTCCTTAGATACATAGGAGAAACACATCTCAACAGACTGCAGTCATGGCCAGTGAATGTCTGAAACTGCCCCAGAATTAAAATGGAAAGAGCGTGGGGAGAGAAATTTAGGACAAGTGTTAACCTGAAAATACAAAATGTTTGGTTTAGTGCTTCTCTCAGACTTAATAAGGTTTGTAATTTGTTTTTTTTAAAAAAGGTAAAATTGTTTTCTCACAGGTTTTTCCTCCAGAAAATATGGAAAATGTATTTTTCTTTCGCAAGAAAATACAATATAAGCTTCCGTTTAGAACATAAGGGAGGCCAGAAGAGCTCAGTCACATTCAGAAGACACTGTGCGGTAATTCATGGTCTTTATGTTGACATGTGGCCTTTATGTTGTTCATAATCCACAGGAAACAGTACATCTTGTGAATGCATACAACAGCTTAAGGATATACTTGCTTGACCTTGTGGGTGGGGTTTTTAAAGCTGTGCTTTGAGACTCAGATCCAGTCATCCTGAGTGACAAGGTGCTACTGTAGGGTTATGGGGAGCTGAGGAACAGGACACAAGAGTACTATGCATGCCTTCTAGCCAACAGGCAACTTCAGGGTTACCTAAGAAAGCAATGGCTGAGCAATGGTCCAGGTCAAGAGGCCACTGAAATGAACAGGAATCATTTCCCCTCCAAGTCACTCTGGATGAATTGCAACTAAGTGTGCATCTGAAGCCACTTAATATTTAATTATTTGAGTTCAGTGATGTTTTTAGGGAGGAAAGCTTTACAATTGCGCAAAAACAGGATCTGAAGTTTTATGGCCACGTAAGTGAGCACTTGAGGGATGCGGGTGGCGCTGTGGGTTAAACCACAGAGCTAGGGATTGCCGATCACAAGGTCAGCGGTTCGAATCCCTGCGACGGGGTGAGCTCCCGTTGGTCGGTCCCTGCTCCTGCCAACCTAGCAGTTCGAAAGCACATCAAAATGCAAGTGGATAAATAGGTACTGCTCCGGCGGGAAGGTAAACGGCGTTTTCGTGCACTGCTCTGGTTTGCCAGAAGCAGCTTAGTCATGCTGGCCACATGACCCGGAAGCTGTACGCTGGCTCCCTCGGCCAATAAAGCGAGATGAGCGCCGCAACCCCAGAGTCGGTCACGACTGGACCCTTAACCTTAAAGTGAGCACTTGACATCTTGAAATATCACTGCAAAGAGTGCAAAGTTCCATTTAGAAGAGGATTCGAAATAAGAGGCATAATGAGGACACTGTCAAATAAAACAGAAAATCGGCTCATTTAAAAATGAAAAGGGATTTATTTCAAAAACTGCCTTCCCTTTTGCATGCGATCATCTCTATCCATTTCATGTCACAATCGTCCTGGAGTAGTGCTTGCTGCCAACATCAAATAAGCAGTTTGTCTTCCTTTGCTCCAGAAAATCACGGAAGACAAGGGGATGCCTCCCAGCAGTTCTCCCATTACAAAACCATGATGTGTCACATCAGCATGCGCACCTTACATCTTCTACTCCACCATGGGACATGGGTGTGAATACATTAAACAAAACAAAATGTACAACAGATGAGCCTTCCTGCTTGGAAACTGGCTGTAGACGCACAACAACAGTTGGGATTTCACATAACAACTACATAGATTTGCAAACACCAACGTTGTCAGTTTCTAATTCTGAAGGGGGGGGGAATGGCTTCCTATCAGCTTATCTGCTTTGCTCTACATAATGTAACCTGAGAGCTGGGAGCAAGTAGTTCCGCAGGCTTCAAGAGCTGAAGAGCGGTGTGATACCCACCCCATCCCAATCTTGCACACAATTCTCTGCAGCTCAGTTCAAAACCAATGTTCTACAAGAATGCTTTGTTGTCCCCGCTTCCAAGGACACAACCTAACAACTAAGCCTTAGTTCAAACTCTCCACTGATGGGGCTCATGAGTCCCATCTCACCCACTGTCTGGCTACACATATAGCATGCTTTCATGTCTATATCTACATAACCTTATCCCAGATGAGATTCCGTATCACAATACACTGCATCCTCAAGATGGGACAATTTAGACCACTTTTGGCAGGATTACCTCACAGTCTCTCAAAGTCATAATTAAATCCCCAATGCAAGGCTGCTCCCCCCAAAAGCCTAGAAATTCCTGCAAGGTTATATTAATTCCCCATTCAAAAAAGGGCTACACACACACTTCTCTACAACTTTGGAGGTTCTAAAAAAATAGAACTAAAACAAAATGAACCCAATTCTTTATGATTTTGTACTGTGCTGTCACCATCAATCAGACTTCTGATGCTCAAAGAATCTCACTGGCTGCAACAGTGGTTGAAATGAGCTAGTGCTCACCTAACATGAAATTGCTACAGGACTTTTCTTCATCGCTGCAAAGGCCATATTCATCCCCAGGACTTGACCAAAACAAAAACAAAAAACCGAAAGCAAAAAAGATGCTATTCCAGGGAGAACGACCCCAAATGGAACACACAGATCTATGAAGTTATGTTGTTTTTTCCAGAAGGATGGTTATTCTGCGTCGGGACTGTATGATGTAGAACCTGATGGTCCCATCCAACCGTCGTCAGTGAGACTTTGTTTAATGGTGACCACGATAAGCCTTTCACAAAGTCTCGATGGGACCGGTTTCTAAAACTGGAAAAGGTATAAAACATTAGTGGTGCTACCCCAGACACATATCACTACAGCTCCAAATAATGAACAAACCTCCCCGAGCTGGCATTGTTTCTTGCAATTTATTAGAAATAGAAAATAATTGGACTCAAATGCTAATGCAAAATGAGATTGCAGATTCGAATGGCTTTTTTAAAAAAAAATAAACAAAATGACTGCTCTAACAGCAGGATTGGGGTGAGGAATCTGTGCCCCTCCAGATGTTGTTGGACTTCACCTTCCATCAGTCCCAAGCTAGCACAGCCCACGATCAGGAATGATGGGAGTTGGAGTCCAGCATCATCTAATAGTTCCCTAGTCAAGCTGGAACATCATTATCTCCAGGCTGAAGGCGCAAGAAACAATGCTCTGTAAGCGCCAATTCCTGGTTTCCATCTCTTCCTGGCTACAGTGTGGCTGATAAGAGAGGAAAGCCAATGTACACAAACAGCAAAGTAGGTACTGAACATAGTCCCCAACACCCATAATGGAAGACAATTTGCAAGGTAGCAAGATGGGCAGTGTTATTGCCTCACCCTTTTGCCTCAATTTAGTCTGTCTCTGCTAAACAAAGATATACCAAGCTCAGTAAACCCAGTCCCTACTCCCCTTCTTTGCCTGACACTGCTGACCCGGGGGACGAGACCAAAAGGGTGAGGAACCCCCGGGTCATTTCACTTCAACTCCTCATCCACCTTCCAAGCAACTACCTCCACAGGGTAAGTAGGGATGGGGGTGGGCCTGGTTTACCATGCCCATACCATCCCTCCTCCTTGATAGCTTTGGTGGCCTTTGGCACTGACCAATGACTTCAGACATATTGCTAGCTATACATTTGTAATGGACCAAACGGATGCAGGAATTCAATTATGGTGCCGTTTTGGATTTGTCCAAGTGCACGCAGCTGCCACACCAGGTATTTCGCAGGATTGTGGCCAGTTTGTGGAAAATGTAACTGAGCCCAGGAGGGGGATACTGAGAGGAGAGCAGGGCAGGGATCGATGGAACGGTCTTGTACTCACACTTCTGAGAAGCTCGAGTCAAGAACAACTACTGAGCAGTCTTCACTGATGGAAGCCAACAGGGGTGAGCTAAAGGAAAAATGAAAAGTTTATGTTTACACATTTATTTTTTTAGCTCCAATTTGCCAAGCAAAATAAAAATGCATTCACTAGGAAAATTTGACCTTTCCCTAGGTCCTGTTGATGTGAACAAGCATTTCAAGAATTTACAGAGCTGCCAATCAGGAAACAATGATGTCTATTCACTTCCCTGCCTCTGGTCAGGAAACCAATGCATGTATCTAGAAACTGATATTGCAGATCATACCTATGTGCAGAAAAAGCAAATCCGGTGACGCTTCGGGAGTGCACAGGTGAGCTTAGGGCAGAGTCTGTGTTCTTTGTGTCCACAAGGACAACAGTCCCACTTTCGTCACCTTCAAAACAGTAATGGAGAGCAACATTATTAGAGATACAAGCATTTTCTTGCCCCATCTGTAAAACAAGCATCTATAAATACTCCTTACCCAATACAAAAGTGTCCGTTCGGTGTGGATGCCACACCAGGGAGGTAGGGAGGTTACTAAAGGCACTGCAGGCTACATGGGGAAGGAAAAAAAGGGAAATTCTGGTCAGTCTCAAAGTTCTCTAAAATAGCTGACAGACTGTAGGGTTGGACTTAAAAGGGTAGGGATAGAAAGGAAAAACAGAAACTGCTCTTCCCACCAATACCAGACAGCTCAATATTTATGGAATTCTGTAATAGAAGTATGTCTGCAAAGTATGATTTTGAGCTCCGGCAGTATTCAACCATATAATTCTGCTTGCATAAAAAGTACCACAAGCACAATGAGACTTCCACAACTGCATCATCCCCAAATTTGCTCAGAGAGTTGGGGGGAAATCCCAGAACAGACTTAGGGGGCATGCAGAGGGAGAGGGGGACCATTCCAAAGAACTGGAAGAAATCTTTGCAGTGACTAAACCATTTGCTTAGTGCTACACCGAATACAACTCTTAGTCCTAACTGTAGTTAGTGTAAACTGGGGATAAAGGGAACTGTGAAAGGAGTGTGCAAACTCTCAGAACATACCTCAGAAATTAATGGATCTCACTAAGTCAAGTTTTTTTAAAATTTAAGTAGGTCTATTCTGAGGAAAGCTTAGTTGAATGCCACTCAATAAAATTATTATTATTAGAATATTCCTTAATTCACACTTAACTTTCTTCTGGGCAACAAGACTCTGAATAAAATATTATTCTTAAACCACAGGAAATGCAGACATAATCTAACGCCCAAAAACATACCAATCCGAGTTGCTGGTTTTGGTGATCTGGTATCCCAGAGTAAAATCCTGCCATCCTAAAAAATAATGAGATAAAATAAGCCTTAAAAGCAGAATTATCATTGTAGCGGGAAAGTATGGACCACCGTTTCCAACCAAAATAGGAACTTTCTCAGTTTTGTCAGGCCTATCTCTCTCTCTCAATACTGTGTAATTCCATTAGCTTTCTGCTCATATTGACAATATCAAAGATATCCAAATCATTTCACCTATAGGCTAAATTTGAATCTACAAAGTTCTAGAAACAAAAGTTGGTTTTACCTCTGCACAGGACAGGAACACGGTGTCTTTTCCAGGGCAAGAGGCCACACATGTCACTGGACTGGAATGAGCTGGCCAAAATTAAACAAAAAGCACACAATATACTACATTAATATGGGCTTGTCTAGGTGGTGATTCAAGGCTGGATGCATTGTGAGTAGAAGGCATTACTGCACATGAATGGAAGAGAAGGAGCCATTCACCCACAGGCAGCATGTTAAAATTGACAACTTTGCTTGGGGGGGGGCGGAAATAAGATAGGACTAATGGCTAGTGTGTGAATCAAAGAGTCACAATTAGCATCACATGGCTCCCAAAGCAACATCTCAAGAGGCCTTCAGGAGGTCAGAAGGCTAACTTGGAATAATAGATCAAATGAAAAATGCTGGTGTGTGCAAAGCCAGTTACAAAAAATGGGGTTCTGGTTGCTTAGTTGCTGTTGCAAATTTTACTGTGAAACTCTTAGATCAGATATATTCTGCTGGAATCACTGGGTTAATTTAGGTGTGGGTTTGTGTTCCTGCAAGAGCAATAACTATATTATACAAATCTCTAAAGAGATCACCTTGCTGCTTCTCCCCAAATTACACTGCCCAAGATTTAAGCTCTGGGAATGTGAACTTCTTTAGCCAATTTGATTCACCCTAAAAAACCCAAAGGAACTAAGTAGTATTAAATGACTCTTCTTCGGTTATCTGTAGAATGGAAAGTGATCCCGCAAAGATCAATGACTAAACAGCATCAAATCATCCCACACAAGAGGGAGCAAAGGCGTGCCATTTTATTTTATCAAATACCACCTGCTGAAAAATTGTTTGCAATGCCTGTGTTGTTCATCAGATAAGATTATAAGTCTGTCTCTTACACCCTCCCCCTGCTGTTTTGCTTTCATCTAGCATTCAGCAGTATTGTGATAATTTGGGACACTAACAGCTTGAAAACATACCCATGGAAGCTCTACACTGCATTTGGTCTCTTGAAGCATGTTGGAGAGAACATGCAACATGGATAAGACATACAGAAGCCACAGTGTTTCCTTCAACACTGTGGAAGGCGGTTGGGGGGGTGTTGAAGAGATTCAGATTGTTCTCTGCTGCTCAGTCATAAAGCTCATTATGTCAGCCACAGGGCTACCCACGTTCTCATACAGCCTGACACCTTGTGGCTATAAAACTGGGGGAATGGTTGGATCACATACAAGATCTGCTCGGGAGGAAGGGCAGGATAAAGTAATAAAAATAAAGAAATAAATCAAGCTTAGCACTCACCTCTGTAGGTGTCGAGTACTGTTTGTTGAGGGATGTCCCATATCTTCACACTAGACATAAAATCCAGAGCAGGTTAAAAGCTAGAACAGATACTTTTACAGTAAAGCAGAAAAGCAGCACCACAAAGGGATCACCTGAAGTCTTTGCTGCCACTGACGGCCTGTGTGTTGTTGGCAAGGACACTCACTGTTGTCACAATGTCGTCGTGCTCGTACTTACAGAATTTGTTCACGATCAGAGTTTCATTCTCATCTAGTTCCCAAAGTTCCACGGCACCTAAACAAAATGAGAATCAAAGTCAGCAGCAGAATACCTAATGAAAGCCCTACATACTTAGTAGGTAAGTGGTGGCCTCCATTACTTAACGTTATTGGTAAACCAAAGATGACGTTTTCTACACCAGAAACAAAATCCCACCCAACTACTTTAGTAGCCCCAAAGCAGGGAACTCTGCTTTAAAATGTCACACCTAGTTAAAAGTAAAGCTAAAATGACAGGGTTGGATCCAGGAGTGTCCTTTCAGGCACAAGAAGCAGAAACTTCCATTCATGGAAAAGGAAGAGAAGCAATATTGACTGCTTTCCATTTCCCCCCACCAGCTCCTCCCATGCTATTCCATTAGTAGATGATTTGAAGGGGGGAAATAGGCAAAATAGACTCTACTTCTTCCACTACCGGGCATCAGGAATGGCTGGTCCATGAGTTAATGCTACTCACAAGACCTTAGGATCCAACCCACATATCTTATAGCAATTTGGAGTGCACTTTTTATCCTGCAATGATAGTGCTTGTTCCAGGCCTCAATCTCTTCAAAGATCTCGCGTCAAATTATTTGATTGCTACAAAAGAGTGATTGTAGAAAATCCTGGATTTCCAGATGAATGTTCTTGGAAGCAGCCAACCAAGTTACCATGATAAGAATTACAGTCCAAAAGAACTGGAAGGCAGTCATAAAGAGACACGTCACTTTTTGGTTTAAAAATTCTCTTTAGCATTGAGAACCACTTCAGAAAGGAAGCATAGCTTCATCCTTATGCGATCTTGGCCGTAATTTATAAGCCACTAAGAGGTTCCAGGAGACACACTTCCCTGATGCTCACCTGAATCTGAAGCTACCAAGATGCCTTTATCAGCAACCCATTTCAGATCTGCTATTCCTGCTTCAGTCTGAACTCCCGCAGAGCAAAAGCCTTCATTAGGAGCTTTTGATGGGTCCTTGAACACCCAAATAGAACCCACCCAGCAACGTCCACTCAAACTGGAAGCTCCCAGGAGCAAAGAACCATCTGGAAAATAAACAGAGTTAAGCTACAATGATATATTTGCAGTATGTGGATCACCTAAATTTAGCATAGAGAGAAATGCTACCACTGATTAATTATTGAATGCCAAAGTTGATCTTGTTGCTATTCAAAACTCCCAACATAACACAATCCCTTTGCAAAGGAATCACAATTCACCAGAAAAACAGGCAAGGCCTAACACAACCGAAGGTCAAGCTCTGCTCGGAGCCCACCCTAGAATCCAGACTGTTATGGAAAAACATCTTGACAAAAAAAAATCCTATTGACAACATCCAAAAATGCCACTTAATAAATAGCTGAAACAAAGCCTTTACATGAAGGCAAATTATGTAGTCCCATTTCTTTTTTAAAAAACCTGTAACTGACTCTACTAGGGTTTTTGAGGACAGCAGCTGGAACAAATCTGGCATGGTGGACTAGTGTGAAGTTTTTTCTAGAGTGCACTGAATAGTCATTGAGCATCAGTGCACAGGGAAAGAAACAGAAATCCAGATAAAGCTCATTGTACTAAGCTCCTGAACCTGATTTTTCAATAAGAGAGCTCAATCCCCTTAAAGAAATGCTCCCCTGAACCTAGAAAGTGTAGCTACTGCTAACACTGACATCGACACATAAAGGAAAGAGCCATGCTTCACAGCTCGAGCATAAGCAATGCTCCACTTTCGAAGTGACCCACTGTAGGTGAGCGTTTTGGGACACAGTTGCAATAAAATAAATTTGAGGTTGCAGCCTTGCAAAGTCACATCACTTTCCAACCTGGGTCGCGCGTTTTAAAATCGACTGCAGACTAGGCACAAAAGGGCTTTAACCGGGGAGGCGTCCCGAACTCCACGCGGGGCCACGAGCGGGGAAAGGAGCCTCCAAGGGATGCCCGGCTCCCGCCCGGTGGGGGCGCCGGCTGACACGGCAGCAATGGGGCGGGCGCCGAGCTCAGGATGCCTGGAGGACGCGGGTCCCCAGCGCGGCGGGGGCAGCTCGCGACCGGCGCCTACCTGCCCGGTAGTGGGCCCCGTCCAGGTGCCGCTCCATGCAGGCGGGCGCGTTGGGCGGGATGCTCCACTCGGACCCGGCTTCTCCGTCGGCCGGCTGAGCCGGAGCCGCCTTAGCCGGAGCAGCCTTCGCTCCCTCCATGGCCGCAGAGACGCGCGCGGACAAACTTGGAGCGCAACCCACGTGCTCCCAGGACACCCCGTTCCGCCCCCCGCCCCGACAGCTCTCGGCGCCGCTGCTCTCGCGAGAACGCCCGAAGCTTCGTTTCTCCTCTCTCGCTCTCTCCGTTTCTTCTCCTCCTCCCCAAGTTCCGGATTATGAATGGGACTCGGACATTCTCTCGCGATATTTTCTAAGCGGTTCGCCCAGTGAAACCCGCAGAGATAGAAAGGGAAGAGTTAACACCCCAGAATTGACCTTTAATTCACCTTCAGCAACTCCGCAGTACCAAAGGGAGAGCACGGCGCGCCACATGTTCCTAAGAACGTTGGATCTCTATTTCTACATTTAAAGGGGGCCACACTGTAAACTACTCTGCTTCAACACCTGGCCGCTTTCCATTTTGCGCTGTTAACGGTAGCTGCACTAGCACGGCGCCGCACCGATTCCCTCGCTTTTAAACCCTTCTCGCTTTCTGCAATGTCGGGATAGCAACAGCGAAGAGCCGTCTTCGGCCACGCTCTCAACTGCAATCCTGAAATGTAGGCGTTGGGTGTGGGTGGGTGTCGGGGTGGTAATAGCCGACGCTCAGCCAGCGCCTCCCCACCTTCATCTGCTACACAGTGCCAACTTGGGTGGCATTTATTGATTTATTGCATGGCTACCCCACTTATCCTGTGAGGAGATAAAGGTGGCGCACATGGCCGTCTCCTTTTTTTTCCTGGTTATCCTCACAGCGACCCAGCGAGGCTGCCTCAAGGTCAACCCAAGGGGCTTCCTGGCTGAGCGGGGTCTCGAATCCGACACTGACCACACGCCACAACTGAGCAGAAGTTTGTGTGTGTGTATAATATTTATATTTAAAATATATATCTTTCAGAAAAACAAAAACAAGCTTTGCATTCGTAAGATGAGCTGCCGCATTAGCCCCGCCACAGGCAATGCTGCAAATGCGGATTGTCCACCGCTTCCTATCGTTGCCCGTGGGAGGCAATACCCGGAAGTTCAGCCCCTGCGGCAACTCTATCCGTCTTAGCTCTAGCGCGCGCGCGCGCTCTCTCTCTCTCTCTCTCTCTCTCTCTCTCTCTCTCTCTCTCCCCCCCTCCCTTTTGTTCTCGCGCGATTCTCCGCCCCGTCTCCGCGGTGACGTTCGCCGCATTGGTCCTCTCGGCCCAGCTGTTTCGATAGGTCCAGAAAACCACGGCGAAAAAGGCGAGACCTCTCGCGAGACCTCCTCCACGGAGGCTGCCATCTTGAGTTCTCTTCGCCGGGAGGGTCACAGGGACGGAGAGGGCGGCGGCAACAGCGGCAGCCGCGATGTTGTCTCGTTTGGCCGTGCGCGCCCTGGGTAAAGCGGGGGCTGCAGGGCGGGCGGACGGCCGGGCTGTTGGGTTTCGGGGGGCTGTGCTTTGACTCTCTTGTTCTTGCCTCCCGCAGCCCCGGCTGGTGGCCTGAAGAGCTTGGCGCCCGCTCTGCCCGTGGGGTGAGTGAATGCAGGTCGTGAGGAGGGTGGCCTTGGAATAGGAAGAAGAGGGGGAGGAAGCCGCTGCTTTTCTCCGGGAAAAGCACGGGGAATAAAGAGGAGGTTAGGCTCCTAGAGGAGGCCGCAGCGACGCAGGTCGTCGTAAAGACTCGCAGGGGTTATGCAGGTTAGGAACGGGAAGCCAGGCCACAAGAAGCGGAAAGGTGCAACTCAATGATATTGGTAAAATGCAGTGGTGGCGAACCTTTTAGAGACCGAGTGCCCATACTGCAACCCAAAACCCACTTATTTATCACAAAGTGCCAACTCGGCAATTTAACCTGGATACTGAGGTTTTAGTTTAGGAAAAAAACACAACTCATACATTAGGGCTAATGTAACCCTTTCCGCTGATATATAATTTTATGGTATAACTCCGTGCCTTTTTTTTCTAAAGAAAAAATGTTTAGGGATACTCTCATTTTGACTCAAGAAAATCACCATCAGGAAAAATAAATTCAGTTCTGATTGGGGAAAATAAATACAGTGAATTTCTTCTTCTGTTAAATTTACAAAATGTTTATGGGTATGTGTCCCCACAGAAAAAAAAGCACTGGTATTACTCCAAAAAAAGTAGTGTTATGCGCCATCAGGCCACTAGTGTACACTGGAGGGCTGTACTAAGAGCCACTCTCTGTCCCAATTTTTAATATGGGATAATATTGATTGTTTGTGTGCGCACATACAAATAAATATAAACAGATAAATAATCCCAGCCAGATGGGTAGAGTATAAATAATGTATTACCATATTTGGGGATTCCATATTAAGAAAATGGGGGGAGATTGCCAAGAGTTTTTGAGCTTTTGGGAGGGGTTGCTTACAGTTGCTCAAGTCGCCGAACACACCTATCGTTTCCACACTCACCGCTGGCAGCCACAAATCGACCACCAAATTGCTACAATGACAGCCAATAGAAAACAGTCCTTGACACAGCCGCCAATCATCTGCACCATCGCTGCAGAGAATCTCCTGCTTGCATCTTTCAGGAGCCCCAAAGAGTGGTGCTTCTCCCTCCCAGCCTGGAGCAGGAGGTGTGGCAGGCGAGTCGTGGGCGTGTCCCTTCTTGTGTGCTCGCTCTTGCCCAGAGACCTGTTGCTTCCCTGCTCCCCTCCCCACCTTCCGTGCCAGCTGATTGGCGGGCGCGCAACTCCCCGATGCTCTAGGGAGCATTTACCGTCCGCAGTGGCTTGGGTTCTCCAGTGCCAAGATAGGAGTAAGATCTGATTTCTTTTGGTCAGTTTAGGGGAAGCCTCCATCTCCTGAATAGGTGGATCATCCTGAAGACTGTTGAGTTCTTCTAAAAGCCTTGAGTAATTTGGTTACGTTGCCTCTATAGCTGAAGGAGCGTCTCCACCCTCAGCGTTCAGCCCAGACACTTGAGATCCAGCTCTGAGGGGCTTATGACGGTTCCCTCATTTTGAGATGTGAAGCTACAGGGAATCAAGCAGAGGGTCTTCTTGGTAGTGGCGCCCGCCCTGTGGAGCGCCCTCCCATCAGATGTCAAGGAATAAACATCTATCTGACTTTTAGAAGACATCTGAAGGCAGCTCTGTACATCCTTTCATTGTCCTTAATGATTATAGCAATAGTTCATATGTATATGTCGTTCTGTTGTGTTCTCATGGTTCTTTTGCAAATAAGCCTTCACATTCCAGCCTTCACTTGCTCACACACATTTCAACTTTTAATTTTATTTCTATAATTTCAGTTACAACACTACTATGAATTTATACATGCAATGTATTTTTCCGCATTTCATTTCCCTCTGATCTCACTTTTTACATTCCCCCACCCCCAAATAAATTTGTGTGTATATGTGTGTGTGCGCGCGCAACTGAGAATAACAGTTAAAATGGACTGTAATCTGTGCTTTAAGGTGCCAAAGGGTCCTTTAATTTTTTTATCACCAAGTTGCAGCTTGCTTCTGCTGTGTAGCAAGCAACTTCTAAACTGAGGAGAATTTTTACAACATGTTATGATTCAGTGTGAGGCACACGTAGTGCTCTCCCTTCACTGGGATACCAAACTTCAAGGGACTGTCTTGTTTAGGCACATTGGAAACATGCTTTTCTGTGTTAAAAGTGGTTTGTTTAGGTGTTGCTATCTTTGTTCTTGAAGTTTAGCCCTTCCTGTCTCTCTGTGATTGCTTTTTCTCCCCCACAATTTTTAGTCTGCTATTAAGTTATGCTTGCATAAGATGAAAGCATAAATATAATAGGGAGATTAATTTTATGCATGATTTTGGAGAATTTGGAGCCTTTTCCAAGTGCTACAGCTTGCACGGTTTATGGATGTGACAGTGATGCTTTGGAATTCCTAGGGAGACATACATTGTCACTACTGTATATACCTTATAATGCCCGGTGAAGACCTGAATCCTTAAATATGCCTTTGGAGAAAGCTCAGTTGAGAAATCTGTTTTGTTTACTGATTCTATTATTATAATATTTGATAATGTTCTTTCACATTGGATTGATTTGTAACTCAAAGCTGCTAACAGCTTAGAGCTCCTTAATGAAGGTAAGATAGGATAGATTTTTTTAAAAAACAAACAAACAGATGATTACTGAATATCCTGAAGCTATTGATTTCTATTTAGCCACAAGTATAACCTTTTTTGGGGAAAGATTTGGAAATATGGAATCATTTTCTTCATTGCAGGGCAGTGCAAATATTCAGACCACTTCACACAAGTCAGCAACACTTGGCTCCTGTGCCACCTCTTCCAGAGACAGGAGGAAAAGTCCGCCATGGAATATTCCCTGAAGAAATTTTCCAATTCTTGTACCCTAAAACAGGAGTCACAGGTTAGCATGCCTGCATGAGTAAACTTTGTGAAAGCCAGCTCTTAGTAAGAAACTTATATTTCAAAAGTATTACTTAATATTTTTATATCCAATTTTTGAACTGAAGTCCACAAATCACTGAACAGAGAAGGTGCCTCTGCTAATGATGAGGTTACACATTATCTTCTGAAGTATGTTGTGTTGATAACAACTTACAGCCAGCATAAGGAAAGGTACCTCAGAATAGATGTGTGCCTTTAGAAATTTGCGTTGCATTTCCTATTTCAACTAAAATTGTGTTTATCACTCATTTTGTCTTTATTTTGAGCAATAAATGTAATCTCTATTTAGAACAGTGGCTGTCACAGAAATGGCTGACATTCCAAAAGGGAGCTGTAGTACATATGTCCAAGTTTATCTCTCCTTCCTTCCCTTATATTTCTCTAAAAAAGAAGAGTGTGTTAAAAGGTGATAATGCAAGTATCATAAATTTAAATTAGTTATTAGATTGTAATGTGATTTTGAAAGAAGTAGCACCTCTGATAACTTAGTTAGGGCTTTTGTTTTCTTGTTTGTGTGTCACAGTTCAAGGGCAACTGAGTTATTTCCCCTGACAGATCTCATGTTCAGGGAGGGTAGCATATTCAATATTAAGGCAAATTTCCTTTATACTGAATGTCTCTATCGTCTTGTGTAATGGTATTGATTTGCTTGCTTTTAGGCCCCTATATGCTTGGGACTGGGCTTCTGCTCTATATGCTCTCTAAGGAACTTTACGTAGTTAACCATGAAACAATAGCTGGAGGTGTTATGGTGGGAATTCTCATCTACATAATTAAGAAGTACGGTCCAAATGTAGCAGCTATTGCTGACAAACTCAATGAGGTAAGACAGCACGTTTATTGCTACTCAGTAAAAGAGTTCACATGTTAAAATAATTTTTTAAAAAAGGATACGGCTCAGTATACTATATATAGGATGCTGTCAGTCAAAATGTGAGTCATGTCTTTTCCTTGTAAATAATGTGATCAACTAAGGAGTAGCTCCCAGTTCAGCACCATACCATCCCTCCACCATGCAGTCCTATGCCTCTTTACTGAAAGGTAAGCCCCACTGATTTCCATGTGGCTTGCTCTCACTATGCATAGGAATGCAGTTTTATTGTAATATAATTGCAGTTTTTAGTGCAGTTCAACACTCCTTCATTATTTTGTAGCCTCATCACTCATGTGCTATGGTAATAACCACAGTAATAATCATATGCAGTCTCAAGACATCCGGAGAGATTGAGTTTTCTAATGTTCAGTACAGTGATAACTTGGTTCTCGAAATCTGGGAGTCCATTCAGCTCCCGAAACTGTTTGAAAACCAAGCTTCCTGCATTTAAGCGGAAGCCACATCGGACATTCAGCTTCCAAAAAACGTTTGCAAACTGGAACACTTCTGGGTTTGCGGCATTCGTGAGCTGATTTGTTCAACAACTAAGCTGTTTAAGAACCAAGGTACCACTGTATAAGTACCTCCCAAATGAGTTAGATAGTCGGTTTTCATGCTGTTACTAGACATGCTGTCCAAACTTGGCATTCAGTGATTACAAATTAACTGAATTAGAAGGAGGTCATTTTAGAAGAGACTGGGCAGGTCTCAATGTATTATTATTTTTTCCTATGCAAATGGAGAAGAGGGTATACTACACTTAAAAATACTTCTCTGGAGTAGAATTGCATGTGTTTGCTTATTTATTTATTTCATTTATGCCACACCTTTTTCTCCAAAGAGATCAAGGTGTGGGATACATTTTCATTCTCATTTCATGCCCACAGCAATCCTGTAAGGCATGTTAGGCTGAGAGGCAGTGAATGATTGGCCCAAAGTGAGCTTCAAGGCAAAGTGGGGATTTGAACCCTGGTTTCACAGGTCCTAGTCCAGCACTCTAACCACTACACCACGTCTTGAATCCTGCTAATATTCAATATAATTGTTACCGTCATAACAATTACACAATGGCTTTTTTTCAACATCGCATCAAGGGAAAAGTGCATGATGTGAGTGCAAAACTGGATTTCTCTGAAGGTCAAACTAGCTTGTTTTTTATTTCAGGATGCTATAGCACAAGCAACAGCCGTGAAAAATGACATGATAGCTGAACACACTACGGCTATTGAAGAGGAGAAGAAAGAGCAGTGGAGGGTGGAGGGTCGTCACTATCTCTTTGATACCAAGCGGGTACAGTATTAAAATAAATACACAGTGTGCGAGATCCAGGGCACCATTGGCACAAGTCTGAGAGTTGACATTGTTGCACAAGTTTAGTTGTCAGGGAGAAGGAGGAGAAGGAGAATAATAATAATAATAATAATAATAGGATATGTGCCATGGATTACATCAGTCACTAATGCAAGCCATTCTTTGAATTTGGCTGCTGCAGTATAGCAAGAATTAGGCTCCTACTAGTGCCATGGGTGTTGTGTGAGTGGGTGCTGCAGTTGGTTGTCACCCACCGTTATTGAAGAAGTAGTTCTTGTACAATGTTTAAATAGCAAACTTTTAAAAATGTAATAGTAGCTTTAACATGCCTCTGATGCTTTGGCTTGCTTTGCTTCACTACTGTCAGTCATAGAATTGTAGAGTTGCAGGGGGACCCAAGGGTCATCAAGTCCAACCCCCTGCAATGCAGGAATCTCAGCTAAAGCATCCATGACAGGTTGCCACCCAACCTCTGCTTAAAAGCCTCCAAGGAAGGGGAGTCCACCACGTGTTGTGGGAGTCTGTTCCACTGTCAAACAGCTGTTGCTGTCATAAAGTTCTTCCTGATGTTTAGTTGGAATCTCCTTTCTTGAAGTCATTGGTTTGGGTCCTACCCTCCGCAGCAAGAGAAAACTAGCTTGCTCCATCCTATGATAGCAGTTCTGGAGTTCTGAACAGAAATATTCTAAGTGCCTTTAAAATATATCTCTGCCCAATATGAAAAAGAGATGGTAATTGCGGTATCACTAGAAATTTGTAATAATTTGTTCGACTAAATTAGCTATAACATATGCTATTAACATCAGGATATCATGATGATGAGATTTATGATTAAAACATTTAGCGCTGTCAACAAAAAATGGAATTTCAACCTTTGTGAATCAGGATCAGTGACTTGTGCTGGCAATCATATGCACAATCATAAGGGAGCAAGTTCCATTGAATTTAATGGGACTTCTGTGTAGCGATACCTATCTCATTTAGTTAGTTAAAAGTTAAATATTTCAGTAGAACACTAAGTGACTTAAATCTTCAAACAGAAAGGAATATATGAAATCAAATATAAATTACGCATTCATGTTTATAGAATAACACTCCAGTCAGAATTAAATTATTGTTTGAAAATGTATTAGAGAAAATGGATGGTGATGCACCTTTTAATCCCCTACCCTAAACCAGTATTTCCAGATACAACATGCTTTTTATTTTGCATTTTTAGGTAGCTTAGGGTTTCAAAGATGAAGTACTGTCCATGTACTGTGGTTAAGGAATAATTCAAAAATATCTATCTGGGGATTGATTGATAAACATTATTAGTGCAAAAAACCTGGAAAACATTTAGGACATGTATTTCCTTGCTGTTTGTGGAACTGGATCTTAAATAATGTCAGACAGTTGTGCTCTAATCTGAAGAATCATACAAAAATTCAAATATAAGTGGTACCAGACTCTATATATGACTAGAGGCTATTGGGGAAAATATATTACATAGAGTTAAAGGCATGCTGGTATAGTATATTCCACTTGGCCCTATTATAGTAACAGGCTGGCTATATGGTCTTGTGGGGAAAACTTTTTGTGGAACTTTCCTTATGTTAAGTGTTATAAAAATAAGTATTGCATGTTATAAACAAGATGGAAAAGCTAGTGGTTAAGGTCTAAATTTACTAACTATATGTGTGTTTGCAGGATGCAGATAAGAGGTATTTTCTAAACTGTTCTTCATGTATTTTTTTGTTGTTGTTGATTTATATCTGTAAATTATTTAAACGGAAGAAATACAAGATTTTGTGCACATACCGCATGTTCATTTCGCAGAAATACTGTAGTCAGAGTGCCCACAATGGAAAAGTGATTTCATTTCTTGCTTTTCTAGAACAATGTTGCTATAATGCTTGAGACAAACTACAGAGAGAGGCTGTTTACTGTATACACAGAAGTGAAGAAGCGGCTGGATTATCATGTGGCAATACAGCATCTCAAGCGGAATATGGAACAAAATCACATGATCAACTGGGTTGAGCAAAACGTTAGGCAGAGTATTACAGCCCAACAGGTACTTGGAGCAGGCTTCTCTATAGGTTTCCCCTTGCAGTTACCTCCACAGTACAAAATAAGTTTGTGCCTAACCTACTGGAGGGTTTGTGTGTCCCTATGATATAATTAATGTTTAAGATGCTGCACATCTGTTTTTTCAAAGTTTCCATTGGAAGAGATTGAAAGAGCAGTGTCTTGGGGCACTGGGGTGGGGGATCCGGGAACTTGTTGGAACTTAGCCAAATAATAGCCAGGCATTTGAATGGGAGATGTAAAGACTAATCTCAGTGTCTGCCTGTTCTCTAAAGAAAAGGGACAGAGGCGAATCTTGTTCCTCGATAACAGTCTATGTGAGAACTGTACCAATCATAGGATTGGTAGCTTTTTTGGACTGGGGAGGTTTAGGTGTGCATTCAAATCTTGTCAAACATCGGGGTTGGTCCTTAATTTATTTTTTGCCTTTATGCCTTTATGGGCCCTAAAGCATTATTTTAAAAACATGTAGCTGTGCTCTCAGCCTTTTTTGTGTGTGATATTATGTCTAGGCTAAGTAGGTGACTGGGTCTCAAGCGTTTTATTCCTGCACAATTTTAATATTGATTCTAAGGAAGGGACTAAATACTGAGTTATGAAATAATCAGTTAGGTATAGCATATCGTTTCAGTGTGGTATGATTTCAAATAAAATTGCTCATGTCATTCTCCATCAAGCTTTTTTCCTTCCAATTTTCTTACAGCATTCATTTGTTTCTGTATTGCAGGAGAAGGAGAGCATTGCTAAGTGCATCTTGGACCTGAAGGCATTGTCAAAGTCTGCACAGGCAACTGTTTAAACACAATTATGACCTCTTAAACCATATGATGGCAAATCTTAATTAAAGCATATATACCTTTTTGTTGGGCTTTCTCTCTGATAGCTTCGGAGTTAAATTTATTTAGGGTATTCCATTCATTCAAGTTTACTCTCACATAGAAATAATCAGGAAAGTGTATATAATTTGAGCAACTAATGGCAAGAGGTAGAATGAATGAAACTATGTTTTGCCTCGTGTCACTCTGCAACCCTGTACAACTTGGTTTAAGTAGCAGGTAGAAAAAGACAAGCTGAACTTTTCATTTTGAATTAACAATGCAAACACTTTTTGATTTTTTAAAAAACAATCCTCTATTTCCTCCTTCCTTGCTCTTACAAGCATCTTCTCCATCCCTCATATCTTCCCAACTTCTGTATCCCTCCCTATATTCCACCTATACTAGGGTTTCATATCTTGAAGAGCAAAAAAAGAGGACAGCCTGAGCTGCTGCCAGCCCGAGCCAGGGAAACAGGCATGCGGGGCTGCCCCCACTCGCGCATGCCTCTTTCCGCAGCTTGGGCTGGCAGCAGCTGTGGCGTGCAGAGCTGCCCAAGCCGCCGCCCCCCCCCGAAAAAAACTCCATACCCAGACATCTCCTTTAAAATGTAAAAATCCACCCAGATGGGTATGTTGGCCCCCCAAAAGAGGACATCTCTGGGATTTCCTGGACATATGGCAACCCTAACCTATACCCAATTTCCCTTCCCTTAGTGCAGCATTCATTTCTATGATTAGTGAAAAACCTGTATTTTCACTACCTATTGCCTTAAACGCATCTCATCTATGCACAACCCTCTGGTTATGATGGAGCAATGCAAACAATCTTGCACTTAAACATTGTTGTAGACTTGTTCCATGCTGAATGTAGTTCTTCTGATTTGTGCTCTTCGAATGAACTTGCTAGTTTTAACATTAATTTCCTAAAGATCTCTTTATGTCCACGAAGAAGTGCCATGTGATTATTGGTAAAGAGGTCTTTATTCTATGAAGGCACAACAATGGCCTTTCTTACGTACAGGAGGACACCTGTGGGGTAAGGCTTACTCCGATAATCTTCTGTAGCTTACAGTAGCTCATGCAGATGTTTCCTTGTTACCCCACTGAGAAGATCAACCACATTCTGAAGATTAACCACATTCTGATCTGCTCTCTTGTGATACCGATCAGCATATTATCATGAAGCTGTAATCTGATAGCATCCAAATCAGTTTTCTATAAGCTTAGAACATGTATGCTGTCATCATCCCCTATGACAAACTTCTCAATTTTGCTCGTAAGTTAGTACACATATGAAGGAAAGTGATTATGTAAACTGCTGTTGGTATTCTTCATGATTGCATAAAATATTTTCCTGTAGAAATCCTTAGAAGGTTCAGATTGGTGATGATCACACCCAACATCAACATGTGCACACATTCTGCATCTAGGAAGAGTAGGCCCCTCTCAGATCTGCTATCTTGGTGGTCTGTGATCAGAACTACTTTTGCCCCAGGGTCTCAGTACATTCTCAATCAACTCAGTTACCTATAATTAAAGCCACTGGCTATGAGAAATCTGCTTGGATGGTCTTCTTCGTGGGGTGGAATTGTCTCAGATTTAGGTTCTCTCCCTGTTGAGAGTGTTTGGGTGAAGTTTATACGCATTTGGGTGAAGTTTATACAAATCATCAATCTTTATTAGGGTCCAGAGACCCAACAAATCGTTACAAAGCAATACACAATTCATACAGCCTACCTCCAGGTTAAACAAGCATTTTGTTCAGAATATATGGATCATTGGTTCTTGCAACCACCGATAAAAACTTTGCCACTGCTAATGTTCTAGCATTTTTCCAGTCTTCCAATAGGAACCTGACATAGTGAGCCTCTGATTTTCCCGGGAAAGGTACCAGCAAGTGTAGTATCAGTTCAGCCCTGGCTTGCTCATATTTTGCACAATGCAACAAAATATGTTTTATGGAATCGATGTCTTGAGCACACGGGCAAAGTCTGTCCTCGTAGTGATCGTGTCAGGTATTTCACTCAGAAAAGTGATCGTGTCAGGTATTTCACTCAGAAAATTTCTGCACATAGCAACATCTTCTGACACATCCTGTACCACTAAGTTCACAGCACGTTTAGACAGCCAACATACAGTACTCATGGCTGTGCCTACCTTTACAAGAGCCTGCTTTCCACTGAGACATTCAGCAACATTTGATGCTTCATCATAGCATTGGCCATGACGCCTGTCAATAGAGATCAAAGCAGCAGAGTACATCTTTCAAAACAGAAGAGTTTTAGCAGTGATGGTATCATTTTAATAAAATAAAAGAATTTAAGGATTTAATCAGGAAAGTTCACATGGATACAATATTATTTGAATAAAGTATTTAAGACATAAGAAATGAGGGTTTGGGGAACAAATAACACAAACAGATCTGTTGGAATTTAATATTAAAGTGCTGTCCAAAATGTATAAGATACTATTGGATTGGACAACAGGATGAGCAAGTAAAATCTTCAATGATACACTGGGTAATAGATATTGGATACAATATAGATATGGAAGCATGGGAATGATTGTGGAATACGGATATAAAATTTACAGCATGCTATGGTTTAAGAGAAAACTGAAAATGTTATATAAAAAAGGTAAAGGGACCCCTGACCGTTAGATCCAGTCGCGGCCGACTGGGGTTGCGGCGCTCAATACCGAGTAAACTGGCAAAAATATATAAATCAAAATCAAGTAAGTATTGGAAATGTAAAGAGAAAGAAGGTACTTTCTAGCATATGTGGTGGTCTTTGCAGTAAGGTTAAAGTTTACTGGGAAATAATATGTAATGAATTGAAAAATATGTTTAAAATAACATTCGTAAAAACAACAACCAGAAGCTTTCCTCCTGGGAATTCTAGGGGTAGAACTACCTAAAGAGTATAGGAATTTATTCATGTATGCGACTACAGTGGCAAGAATGTTATTTGCCCAAAATAAGAAGTCCCGATGAAAGAAGATTGGATACAAAAACTCATGGAATATGCAGAAATGGTGAAACTTACTGGAAAAATAAGAAATCATGACAAACTTTATAAAAGATTGGAAATGGTTTATTGAATATGTACATTTGACACACTGTGCCAATACTGGCACATCTTTGACTGCTTGCTCGGCCAAAATGTATATGTAGAACCAGAACACAGCAGATGTAGGTTGACAGAACCTCGGACTGCCAGCTGTGTTACTGGATGCTACAGCAGTGAACAGCAGGCATTAGCAAGGGGTAGAGTTTGTTTCTGAAAAGTTCTCTTGATTGCTTCAGACCAAAACAACTGTTACATAAAGTCTCGGGAAGCAATAGCTCCCCTGTCAGTAACTTTATTGTATCTTAGGGCAGAAGACATAAAGCTAGACAAGGCCATCTGCATGAGGCAGCTATGAGTGTTCAGATGTAGTTGCACTGGGCGATGTAGCATCTTCTGGATCCTTGTGCACGATATAGGTTCTTAAAATCTGGATGCAAGTTTCCCGGAACTTCTTTATCCTGAAAGTGTAGACGATGGGATTCATGACCGAGTTGGAATGCGTGAGAAGGATGCCCATGTATGTGAAAAGCTTAAAGTTCTGTATTTGGCCCAAATGCTCGATGCAGTTCAGAATGCACAGTGGCAGCCAACAAACAGCAAATAAGAAGAGGACCAGAGCCAATGACTTGGCTGTTCTGAACTCCTGCCTATAAAATGACCTTTGCCCGTTGACATTCATTGAACAGGGCTGCAGCTTTGTGCGGATGAGGCAGAAGATCTTTGCATAAAGGATGCACATGACAATCAGTGGGATGAGGGTTCCGGCAAAGAAGCTCAAGTATATCATGTAGTCCATTTTTATCACATTTGTGAAGGTACAGTTAATGAAATCAGAGTTTTCTGGTTTTGGTTCTGCCCATCCAAACGGAACAAATCCCACCAGCAGCGACAAGAGCCAGATTGTTGCCAGAGCCCCACAGATTTTTTTCCGACTGCTTTGCACCCTATACCTGTTTTGAGGAGAGAAAAACAAACTTGCATCAAATGTGCAAGAGATTCTAATGTTGGTAGTCTTATTTCCTTATAGCGCCCCCCCTTTTTGCTTTAATTGTGCCGTTTTTCTTTTGTTTCCTTTTTATTGTTACTGGGGGTTTTTAAGGGCAAGCTGTATAAAATGTGAGACTATCCGGCTCAATTTATTGACAGCATTTTGCTGATCTGGAGCATTTTGCATATACTAACTTGGTTTTCAATAAATAGCAATACAGTGCTACCTCCGGTTATGAACTTAATTCTTTCCAGAGGTCCGTCCTTAAGCTGAAACTGTTCTTAACATGAGGCGCGCTTTCGCCAATGGGGCCTCCCGCTGCTGCCATGCCACCATCATGTGACTTCCACTCGCATCCCAGGGCAAAGTTCGCAATAAGGGGCATCTACTTCCAAGTTAGAGGAGCTCATTACCCAAAGCATTCGTAAGGAGGACGGTACATAACACCAGGTTCCACTGTACTTAACAACAAAAACAAAAATGAAACAGATACTTTAAAGTGGCTATGTTTAAACCGTGATACGGACTGTGGCTTTATCAGAGAGACCAACAGAAAGCCGTTTTAGTGAAGAGGAGGATAATGATTTTGCTTTGTGTCCTCCACTCCCAAAGCAGGACTACAATGGTACCTTGGTTCTCAAAATTAGTCGGTTCCAGAAGTCCGTTCCAAAACCAAGGCGGGCTTTCCCATAGAAAGTAATGCAAAATGGATTAATCCATTTCAGACTTTTAAAAACAACCCCTAAAACAGAAATTTAACAGGAATTTTACTATCTAACAAGACCATTGATCCATAAAATGAAAGCAATAAACAATGTACTGCAGTCACACAATCAGTAGCTGAACTGCAGTCACACAATCAATCAGTAGCTGAACTGAAAAATATTGGCACTAATGGAAAAGCTGACACAGAGAAGTTCTGGACCAAAGGGTTGTAGCTCAGTGGCAGGAAATCTGCATGCAGGGGTCCCAGGTTCAACGTCTGGCATCTCCAGAGAGAAAGACGCCCACCTGAAAACCTGGACAGCTGCTGCCAGTCAGTGAGGACAGTGCTGAAATAGATAACCAATGGTCTGACTCAGTATAAAGCAACTTCCTCTGTTTCAAACGCTTTACCAGGAAATTGGATAAAGATTCTTTGGAATTATTACTTAAACTGGAAACTAACCAGAACCCTATCCTTTATAGAACTATTGGAATGCTGGATATATTTGTCTTCATATAAATAATTGTGGGGGGCTGTACATCTGAATGTAACCATTAATCTCTATTGGAAGTGATGGATTTTTTAATATATATTTTTTAAACAACCCAAAGGAATTGCATATTCTGTCTGAGCACGACTGGGTTATTCCAATGCAGCCATGCATGCTATGCATCATATTTATCATGCCTTTTTTATTTTTAGAAATTTTCTAAATGGTACAATTGCAAATGTTTGCTTAAAACCTCAGGCTACACTATGCTTTGCATGGCATATTAAACAAAATGCATAAGCTTTCTATCATATGGGGAACAGCAAAACAGAAATGAAAGTTATGGCACCCTTTTGAACAAGATTCTTATATTGGCAACAGTATTCATATTATTTAATTTAAAGCCAAGCTGAAGAGTTAAGAACTATGCTCCTTCAAAAGAGTTCTAAAATCACCTCTGTATGTTGATTTTAGAACTGTATTGAAGGAGCATAGGGTTAAGAACTTAATTTGTTCCGGAGGTCCGTTCTTAACCTGAAACTGTTCTTAACCTGAAGCACCAATTTAGCTAATGGGACCTCCTGCTGCCGCTGCACAATTTCTGTTCTCATCCTGAAGCAAAATTCTTAACCTGAAGCACTGTTTCTGGGTTAGCGGAGTCTGTAACCTGAAGCGTATGTAACCTGAAGCATATGTAACCCAAGGTACCACTGTATATATTTAACCCAGCTGAAAAATCAGCAGTCATCCGCAAAAAGCAGGTGGAACACAAAAGGCAAACCAGGGGGAAGGCCAGCAGCTCAGTGGAAGAGCGTCTGCTTTCTACACACCAGGTGCCAGATTCAATACGCAGCATCTTCAAGTTGGGCTGGCAGAGAACCCAAGTCTGAAACTCTGGTGAGCCACGGCCAGTCAGTGCAAGCAATACTGAGACTAACAATCTGATTCAGTGTAAGGCTACTTCCATTAGTCCTTAAAATCTCTTGCTTCTATATCACCCAAGCATTTAAACAGTAGTGTGCAAACCACCCCTGAGAAAAAAGTCGCTGACAAAGTAGAACTCACCGAGTAAGCAGCCGTAATCTCAGATATCTGTCGATCGCTATGGCGAGCAAGGACAGGATGGAGGCCTGAGTAAAAATCATGAGTTGACAACACATGAAAAGACAGGCATAATAGTGGATCTCGATTTGTAAGCAGACTACGATAGCCAGTGGCATGACGAGGCCAACACCAATATCAGCCAGGGCCAGCGAGATAACAAAGTAGAAGGTGGTCTTCTGAAAGGCTGGGTTTAGCTTCACGACCCAAATGACCAGAACATTGCCCAGGATAGCCAGCACTGCAATCACAGCCTCGAAGGCAATGTAAACTCCTTGCACAGCGTCAGGCATCTCGGGAACCAAGATGTTTTTCCCTCGAGGTGAAGAGAGTCCAGGATGAATAGGTGGGAGTCTTCTTCTGAAGCACAGCCAAAATAATTCTGACAGCTGGCTGCAGTTGCAGTTTCATGAGGGAGCAGCAGCAGAGCACCCCATAGCATTGTTTACTGTCAGAAATGACTCAGAACCGCACATTTGTCCGCAGATAAGCACTTTCTAATTCTTAGGAACTGAATCTTTGAAAAGGAAGTTACACTTTGCTTTCGGACTCTGATCTCCTCTGTGGTCTTGAAGGCTTGGCATGGCTAAAGGATGGCAGGGATGGCCTTATTTTATTCTGTTTTCCTCATTTTTTTAAAAAAAAATAACATATAGATACAAATGGTAAATATCAACATATAGAAACTTTCAAGCACACTGCATAGCAAAGGACTCCGCTGAAGCTCTAGTCAAACTCGCCAATCTCATTCCCACCCTGGCTTACCTATGTTAGCTATGGAGGATGCAATGTCTGTTTCCTACTGCGTTTCCTCCATTACCTGTTGGGGCAGATACACCTGACACCAACTAGAAGTGCAGGTGTGGGAAACCTTTGGTCTACCAGAAGTTGCTGAACTACAACTCCTATTATTCCTGGCCACTGGTTATGCTTGCTGATGCTGAGGGGATTTGAAATTCAGCAACACCTGGAGGGCCAGAGGTTCCTCACGACTGGTTTAGATTAATGAATTTCGCTGCAATCATTTACCCACACCCCTGTGAAATCAATGACAGTTACTTGATCCCTGAGACTGTGTTGTCAGTAAGGGCCTGTCCACCCTTAAGTATCGTGCCTAGAAAGCACACCCCAGGCAGGTTTCCCTTCCTCCACTCCTTTCCCAGGGAAAAACCTGCTCTTAAATTCTAAATTGGCGCACTTGGATGTGGTGTTAGCTTCCACCCCATGACATCTGGTGAGAGTTAGGTGGCACCATAGATGTTAATTTTATATGCATTTGAGCTTTGCATAGAAATACTGCAGATTGTACCTCTTGTGTTTTGTGGCTTCACATATTGCTCTTCTTCTTCTTCTGATGATGATGATGATGATAAAAATATTATTGGACACTCACAATTTCCTTGAGTGGTGAGACATTCCAAAGGTAGCCCTTCTAGTCACTTATGAACGAGAGAGAGCACTGGAGATGGATGGTGACTTTGTAATACAGTCATATCTCGGAGGTCGAATGGAATCCTTTCAGGAAGTCTGTTTGACTTCAGAATGTTCGGAAACCAAGGCGCGGCTTCCAATTGGCTGCAGGAAGGTCCTGCAGTCAATCGGAAGCTGTGGGAGCTGCATCGGATGTTCAGGTTTCAAAGCATGTTCACAAACCAGAACAATCACTTCCGGGTTTGCGGTGTTTGGGAGCCAAAACATTCGAGTCGCAAGGCATTGGACTTCCGAGGTACGACTGTATATGAGGAGAGTGGACAGTGGTGGGCAACCTCAGGTCTTGAGGCCAAATCCAGCCCTGTAGGCTTCTCTTCCTGCCATCTGATAGAGGTTTTCCAAGGATTGCTTTTTCTCCAATTCAGTGGTAAAATACAGGTTTTCTTGGGGAAAAACCCTGCTCGGACACAGGCCTGGAAAGCCTAAAAAGTGTGGAGCAAAAGTAAGTGTGGATGAGGCCTTTGTCTGGATGCTTCAGTGTGTGCAGAAATTAACCTACTCTTACAAAGATAAAATTCCATTCATGGCTCTGGCTACATTTGCATCTGGTTTTGACCTCAGAAGGTTGCCCAAAAGAATGGCTTTTGGACTGAAAAAAAGGTTCCCTATCCCTGAAGTGGAGCATAAATTGCAGGAAAGAGGCATTCCTACAAGGCCACAAATTTGCTACCCTACCAGGTCCTTAAAGAGAGACCCTGCACCCTCAAGGTGCCTTCAGTTAGCTCCCTCTCTGTCTCAGCATCTTCCAAACTGCGAACCACTGTGCTCTCTCTCTCTCTCTCTCTCTCTCTCTCTCTCTCACACACACACACACACACACACACACACACACAAATACCCACACCTCTCTTCCCAATTTTCTAGCTGTCCTAACCACACACTCTTTCTTTTTCCACTTGCATTTCCTGTTCCTATAAATTACAGAGGCTTGTGGAGACATTTTGGTCAATATTCTGCTTTTTGATCAATCAGTTCTCTGCAAATTTCTATGTGTAATGTGAATGTTACTATGGTTGAGTTTAATAAATAGTCTTATTTACAACAACATATTTCTTTACTATGTTGTGGAATGTAGTTGGAAATATAGATACATTAAAGAACACAAATTTGTCACTGCATCTTTCTGTTTGCTTAAAGAAGGTGGATTTCCAGGAGGATGCAGATTATTATTTTCTGAAAAGGGGGTAGTAGGCCAAATAAGTTTGGGAACCTCTGCTTCAGGGTGTCAAACAGTGTTGATAATATATTCTAGTTTAGGCTAAGTTAGACTTTGTTATTTTTGTGTGTATGTAGTTTCCTAAATCTTCATCAATTCTGAATTGGTCTTCTTAGACCTTTTTGTTTTATTTGATAACAGGGTTCTTACTATGCTGCTCTCTTAGTATTCTTAATAAAACATATATTTGTTACTTCTGTGTGGCTATTTGGTCAAAGCCTTGGTCTAAAGAACACCTCAGTTCTCTTTGGTCATAGTTGTTTATCTTGCTTGAGGCTTCAGGAAGAAGAGAGTGGGAACTTTGGCTCTTGTTCCCTGGAATCATGGCGTCCTGTATACACTCAGGTTTCTCCTTGGCTGTTAACAGGAGTGACATTTAGCATTACCTTGGGGCGGGGCAGGGTATTGGTTGAAAACTGAAGCCCTATAACCTTGACATGGTAGCTTTGAGGAGGTTTTTTTCAGAGTTGTCTAGTATTCGTTTTGTGATCTTGCAAGAGAGTGCAAGCAGATAATCAAGCAACTGTAGACACAGAGGAAGACTGAAAGAACATCTAACCTCAACCTCTATAAATACACCCATTTACTGGAAGTATTTTAACCACTATCTAAGGAACCATGATTTTAAGATTAGAAAACACAATATAAATACTAGCAACCCTCATCAATGAGAATAGGGAAACCAGTACCTAATGATCTTTGCAGATGATAGCTGTGCACAAAATCAGGATTATGTGTGCTTCGGAAAACTTAAAATTAAGAAATTCAGTTAACTTGGCAAAACCTGAATTTTAATAGTATTATTTTCTTTTCCTTAAATTTTTATTTAGTTCGCTAATATTTGTAACCATTGCATTCCTTGCTGATAGCTACCATGCTAAGAGAGGGAGACAGACTATATTATTTGTTCAAATTAGCTGTTTGCATTGCAGGTGATTGTTTAAAATATTAATATATCATCTTCAGACACTGCATATTAATAATAAAACAAAATACAAGGGATTGTATGCAACTCATTTCATCAGCACAAGGATTTCTGCTTGTGCAACAGAACTTCCCCACTTCCTATCCCAGCATGCACCTTGTACCCTCCCCAAATCCACTCCAGAGAGTTGGAGAAATACCCACAATAGATTTTGGGGGCTCACAGGGGAAAAGAATGTCAGGAAGTTCAAGCGTGCAAGCAGAAATCCTTGCACTGATGAAACGAGTTAGTTGGATACCGCCCAATATTATTGGAACCAAAAAATTACCAGTAGTCAGACTTAAAACCATAGCAGGCATCATGAACCAGCAAAAGCTAAGTTAAACAAAAAAGTTTTTAGCATGCATTAAACTTAACAATGTAGTTGATACATGCCTTTTTTCTGGGTGGGGGATATTCCAGAGTATGGGAGCCACCACAGAGAAGGCTCTTTTCCTGGATGATGACAGTTGCACACCTGCAAGTTGCAACAAACTGGGAGGGCCTCTGAAGATAATCACAGTGGTCATTTCTAAGCATTCATTTATTTTCTCTGGATTCATGTACAGTGGTACCTCGGTTGTCGAACACAATCCATTCCGGAAGACAGTTCAACTTCTGAAACGTTCGACAACCGAGGCACAAAGGGCAGTCAGCAAAGTAAATGGAAAAAATACAACAACATGCAGCAGAAGCCGTTCAACTTCTGAGGTGTGTTTGAAAACGGAAGCAATTACTTCTGGGTCTTCGGCGTTCAGGTTCCGAATCGTTCAGCTTCCAAGATGCTTGAAAACCGAGGTACCACTGTACATTGATCAAAATTGTACTTGTCATGAGTTCCTTTGGATTCTTATTGCAATCAACATGCATTTGCATTTTAGGGAAGCATTTTAATCGCATAAAAAATCCATCAGATTTGTATTTAAAAGGATTTGGAGTGACTAGAGGCTTGTGGGGTATGTGTGAAAGCAATGGGTAATATTCAACTAAATTTTACTCAGGGAAAACTAGTTGAAATTAATGGACCTAACTTAAGTCATGTTGATTAATTTCAGAAGGTCTCCTCTGAGTAAAACTTAGTTGACCCTCACCTGATATGTTAGGTCCTCCTTTCTCTCAGAAAGGAGAATATGTTAGCGCTTCAGACCTCTTTAAATGGAAATACTAGACAAGCTGAGATGTGAGCCACCCCCATTTGCTAGGATGGAGGCTGAAACCTGTTTTTATTATTGATCTTGAATGTAGGTGTGGGGAATCTCTGGCTTGTGAGTCTAATTACAGCCATTAGGGCTCCCTATTTGCCTCACAAGGCTGTTTTGGCCAAGTCACAAGCACCTGCCCTATACTTTACTTCATATATGCCAGCAGGTGTTGGGCAGGTAAAGACATGGTTTGGATGAAAGGGGGTGTGCAAACACCACCAAGCAGCTGATTGACGCTGTCTGCAAAGCCCCTTGCCCAGTGCTTCCCAAGTGCTGCCTATTGGCTTAGAGCCGGTGTTTGAGAAGCATGTACACAGGATTTCCCTAATGCCAGCAATCAGCTGATAGTCAACACTAGCAAAGTGCTGCAAAAATGGCCACTGGTGCCATCATGATGTCAGGTGGTTGACAGGTGGGTCAAACTTGGCCTATGTGGTTGAGTGGAGATATGGATCTTACTTGCTAGCCAGCTTTCCGTGCATATATGACCTAGATTCCACATGTGGAAATGGAGAACAGAATAGCAGTAGTTTAGTGCTTGCTGGCAGAGATATGGTTTAGGATTTCCTGTTGCTATACTGATGTTGCATTGGGACTAGCAGTATCAGCCTTTGTGCATTGGTACCTTGGTTTAAGAACAGCTTAGTTTATGGACAACTGGATTAAGAACGCTGCAAACCCGGAAGTACAGTGATACCTTGGGTTACATACGGTTCAGGTTACATACGCTTCAGGTTACACACTCCGCTAACCCAGAAATAGTGCTTCAGGTTAAGAACTTTGCTTCAGGATAAGAACAGAAATCGGTGTTCGGCGGTGCGGCAGCAGCAGGAGGCCCCATTAGCTAAAGTGGTGCTTCAGGTTAAGAACAGTTTCAGGTTAAGAACGGACCTCCGGAACGAATTAAGTACTTAACCCGAGGTACCACTGTAGGTGATTTGGTTTGTGAACTTTGCCTTGGAAGCAGAACGTGTTCCTCTTCCTGTTGAGTGCGTTCCATTTGTAAATTGAGTCCCCCGCTGCTATGGGAAAGCACGCCTTGGTTTAAGAATGCTTTGGTTTAAGAACAGACTTCTGGAATGGATTAAATTTGTAAACCAAGGTACCACTAGTAGAACCTCTACTTACAACTCCCTCAGGTTACAAACGCTTTAGGTTACAAACTCCGCTAACCTGGAAGAGTTACCTCAAGTTGAGTACTTTGCCCCAGGATGAGAAGAGAAATCATGCGCCAGCGGCGCAGCGGCAGCAAGAAGCCCCATTAGCGAAAGCATGCCTCTAGTTAAGAACAGTTTCAGGTTAAGAACGGACCACCAGAATGAATTAAGTTTGTAACTAGAGGTGCCACTGTAACTGGGTGGCAGGAATGTCGAGTTGGAGACAGAAGTAGGGGGCCTTCTTTGGAATCTACTGCCCGTTGTTGCCGCTTTTATTTATTTTCATTTGTTAAATTTATATACCACCCTTCATCAAGAGACCACAAGAAAGTTTATAACATAGAACACATAATAAAAAGGCAGTAACCCATCCCTCCTCACTTTAAAAGGCTATTGATTGGCAGGTGAAGAGGAATGTTTTCACCAGGTGCCTCAATGTAAAGGGCACATTTATGTCCTGGCACTTAAATGTTTTAACTTCCTCTTAAATATTTCTTTCACATAAAAACCAAGTTTGTAACTTCCTGTCAGGTTGGATGTTACTACATTGTTTCCTAAAGTTACCTCACCCCTTTATTGCTACATTTCATGGAAGTTGTTAAAATAAGATGTTTTTGAAAACTTCTTAGTAACCAACGTAACAGAGGATGCCTAGGAACCTGTCATGAAAAGCGATGAAAATGCCATCCTTATCAAGCATGAGATGCTATCAGAAGCTTCAGGAAACCTATTGATAAAGTTAAATGATTTCTTTATCTTACAGATTTTCATTTCCTGTATTATCTTTATTTAAAGTACAGACCTTCACACACACACACACACACACACACACACACACACGGCTTGTGCCAGTATTCAGTTTCTTATCAATACTTCAAATATGGTTATTTTTGTTTCGTTTCATAGCAACTTGCCAAAGCAGGTTGGAATGTGTGAAGCATTAACAGGAACTATTTTACTCTGTGGGTTCCCGCATGAAAGCTACTCTTTGAGAGGCAGAGTACAAGAGAACAGCTTACTTAACTTCTGCAATTCTACAAGGTATCGAGAAGAGTTTTTTTTTAAAAAAGACCAGTTAGCATATGAGGGGAAGCCTTAGATTCCAGCTCTTCTACATTGGGCTCTTGCTCTGTGAGGGCACCATAACTCCATAAGTTGAAGAGGACCGAGAGAAACTTGTCCATGAATACTTTGCACATTGTCTACATCATCGTTGAGGTGCTGATAGCAGTGACTGCCACCTTAGGAAATGCTCTAGTGATCTGCGTGGTGAGACGGATCCCAGCCTACCAGAACACCACTTTTTACTTCATCGTGTCCTTGGCACTGGCTGATATTGCCGTTGGGGTCCTTGTTGCCCCTCTGGCCGTTGTGCTGAGGCTGGAGGTTGTTCTCCACTTCTACGCTTGCCTTTTCATCTGCTGCATCTTGATGATCTTTTGTCACGCTTCCATCATGTCCCTGCTGGCCATTGCAACAGACCGATATCTGAGAGTGAAACTGGCCATACGGTGAGTACCACGAAGTCATGGCTGTGGATTTTCATTGGAAAAGTTACAATATATCCCATGCACCAAAATAATGTCGTAGCACCTGTAATGCTCCTTGTGCTTTCTCCCAGCCTGCCGAAAATGAAAAAGTCTGTGACAAATCATAGTATAAGGATGGTGCTGCAAGCAGAATCCCATCTGTAAAATATTTTAAACTAACCTGCTTTTTCAAATAGATACAAAGCAATAGTCACACGGAGAAGAATCTGGGCGGCTCTGAGTTTCTGCTGGATCACGTCTCTGTTGGTGGGGCTCGTGCCCATGTTTGGATGGAACCTAAGGAAGCCTGAAAACCCCATCTACTTGAAGTGTTCTTACCCAAAGGTGATGAGCATGGATTACGTGGTGTACTTCAGCTTCTTCTCCTGGATCCTTGTCCCACTGCTGATCATGTGTGCTCTCTACTCAGAGATCTTCAACATCCTCCAAACAAAGCTGAAACAAAATGCAACATCCATGAAAGGAACACGGATCCTTTATGGGAGGGAGTTCAAGATGATCAAATCTTTGGCTCTGGTCCTCTTCTTGTTCATTGTGTGCTGGCTGCCTCTGCTCATTATCAACTCCGTCTCGCATTTCTGCCAAACATGTCGTGTCCCCCTGCCGGTGTTAGATGTGGCCATCCTGCTCTCCCATGCCAATTCTTCCTTAAATCCCATTGTGTATGCCTTGAGAATCAAAAGGTTCCGAAAAATGTATATCCTGATTTTGAAAACCCATGTCTTCTGCCTGAAACAAGAACCAGACACATCTAAAATGGAGAACACGTCCTCGGATCAGGTGATAGAAGAAAGTATCTGAAAAAACACTGGAAGAGTATTTCCTCACCAAAATTCCTTGTTTCCTTCCTTCCATAGTGTGAGTATTTAATATGACTGAATGAGAGACTCCAAGATAGTTGGAACACTGTAAATTCAATGCCCTCCCACATTTGTTAGATAACATTTGATTTCATTACTTTAATACTATAAAAATGTAGGTCTGTTTGTTGCAGCATAAAGAAATCAATGAAAACAGGCCACTTTCATAGGTCTGGTGGCTAGTGTGGTCTATTAATTAATTTTTGAAATGTTAACTTTAAAGTTGGTATTGAAAATTACCAGCACAGGTTGGGGCCTGGTTGTCATAGGGACTGCATTCTCTTTCCTATGTTCTCCATTCAACATCTGAGATCCTTTTCCATCTCATTCCCCAGCTGAAGCATGACAGGTGACCAGAAGCAGCAGAGCCTTTCCAGTTGTGGCACCAACCTTATGGAATGTCCTTCTCAGGGCAGCCCACATGGCTCTCATCATTAAGCTTTTTTGTTTCGCTTAGATACTTTAAAATATTAAGTGGTTTAGAAATGCAAAGAAAGACTGGCAAGGAGAAGCCACATCTTCTGGTCTATCCAAATGGGCTTTCATGTTCTCTGTTAGCAATTTTAGGAACCTGACCTCTCAGTTTCTCTCGTGCTCTGCCGTTCTCCTTCAGTTCCATTGGCATGTAACAAAGCTTATCATGAACTAACCAGTTCCCCAGAACAAACCCTGGCTTAATTCACCATCCTTTTCATTACTGGTTGAATTTTGCTTGTACTGATGATGTTTAGTCTCTTTGGGGACGTAGTTTCAAATGCATGTCACTTCCTGATGTGCACATTGCCCTGTGGTGACTCATTTGCTTCACCAGAATAGGCATCTCTAATAACCCTAATAACCCTTGTGGCGTTTGCCCTCCTAGGTGGGTCATAAGGAAAGGGTGAAGTGATTGGCCAGTGGGAACCCAAGGGGAGGAGTTAGAGTTGGAGTTGGAGTTGTTGGGAAATCAGTTGGGAGTTGGAGAAGGAAGAGGGAGGATAAGTCTGTGGGTTGGTCTAGTTTTGATGTGCGAGAGTGAGAGAAACTGTTAGGAGGAGTCAGATAGACAGTTGGGATAATCAGTTAGAAGTTATTAGGAAGGTATAGGTCAGTAAAGAAACTAGGATTAAGAAACTGGCAAGAAAAATGATCTGAAACCATAAACCATAACCTTGTTAATGCTTATAAAATATTTTTTGTATTTTTTGAAACTTTAATAAATATCATTAAAAAAAATGCTTATAAAATAAACTTGCTTATTTGATTTAATGTTAACAACTGTCTGGACTCCGTGTGTACCCGAGTGAAACGGGTTGGTGGCAGCGGGGAAGCAATCACAGTGGTGGCACAGGGATCAATAGACCGTCAAACGTCCAGGGACCCTGTGCGATCGCCACAACCCTGAAGCTTCACTTACGACAGGGGTCTCATTCCCTTGTGAGCAAGTTTCCAGGGTCCACATTCCAGCGGTGGGTGGGGCCAGAGGGAAAAGTGGGCGGAGCAATGGATATAACTCTTCCCTATGTACAGTAGGTTACATTTCAGTCATGCAAAACCCTAGAGGGTTTTTACACACCCACATCCACCTGCTTTATGACAGTTCAAAGACTCATTCCAGCCAGGCAAAAGCAGTCTAGGAGTTTATGGAGCACAGTCAGTGAGGGGGGTGGCCTGGGGAGAAGGATTGTGTGGCCCAGAGACAGAGAGACAGCCTTGGGTGAGTACTGAAGACCAGATGGACAGACCTGAGATTCCTGACTCCCGACCATAGCAAAGTAGTGCTAATAACAGGCATTACAAATTCATTTGAAAGGAAAGGTCTGTTAATTTCAGAAAGAAAGAAGCATTTACAGCAAACCTTCCTCCAAGCCAATTGTACAGTTTTATGAGGTGAAGAATGATGACTCTACAAGATTCACCTGTAAGGCTACAATACCTTGGAGAAATCCTCACTGGCCTCAGTGGGACTTATTTCTGAGCTGCCGGGCATAGACAGGATGACAGCGTAATTAACTCACTAAGGCTGCAGTACTAATCTGGAGCTTTGCAGAGTCTCAGAGCCACCAATGTATCTGCATCCTGGCTGCTCACAGTGATCAAAGCAGTTGATGGGGTGAGAGGAGGACAGTCAGGCCTGATCAGACTTGATCAGGATGGCATAGCCATTGGATCCAACTCAGGCTTGATGCCTTAAGTGACACAAACCACAAGAATATACTTTCTAAGGAGTATTCATGGGGTGCAACAACAATATTATGAAAATGTTGAATCTTGCAAGAAAGGTGGCTTTTTTATATATATAAAAGGACATCAGATGGGAGGAATAACAGAAAGCGAGAGTGTCACTTTGCAACCCTCTGAAAATCGACTGATGAACACCAAAGACATTTACAAAGGGTCAGACTGAAGTGGAAGGAAAAGTGAAGTCCGCAGATACTCAGAGGTTGCATGAGTTCATGGCTAGTCTATATTCTTTTCCTAAGGAAAACGGAAGTGACTACTTGCAACGTTTTAACTAAAGGTGATTGCCCCTTTGCACATGAATCTGCTGACATGTTAAGATCTGCATCAGGGATCTTGAAGATGGTGGTGTCAAGTACAAAGAAGTTCAGTGAGCATATCTATCAACATTAGGCTTTTAACCACAGCTAAGAGAGCTAAGAGGGACGCGAGTGGTGCTGTGGGTTAAACCACAGAGCCTAGGACTTGCCGATCAGAAGGTCGGTGGTTCGAATCCCCGTGATGGGGTGAGCTCCTGTTGCTCGGTCCCAGCTCCTGCCAACCTAGCAGTTTGAAAGCACGTCAAAGTGCAAGTAGATAAATAGGTGCCGCTCTGGCGGGAAGGTAAATGGCGTTTCTGTGCGCTGCTCTGGTTCGCCAGAAGCAGCTTAGTCATGCTGGCCACATGACCTGGAAGCTGTATGCCGGCTCCCTCGGCCAATAAAGTGAGATGAGCGCCGCAACCCCAGAGTCGGCCACGACTGTACCTAATAGTCAGGGGTCCCTTTACCCTTTACCTAAGAGAGCTAAACTTTGTTACTATCTCTACATTCAATGTTATTTTCCCTTTAGAGTTTAGCACTTTAACTTTCTTTAAGTTAGAAATGTGATTGTGTTAGAATATTGCTTTATGTTTGCCCAGCGCTCTCTCTCTCTCTCGCCCCTTCCTCTCCCCCCCAGCTCTCGATTGATAGATGATGATAGATAGATAGATAGACTGATAGATAGCATTCTATTGTTAAAACTAGCTTCATAATACATATCCTCATTTCCTCTACTCTTTGTGAGGTTGGACATTTCTAGACTGGGAGGGTGCAGATGCACGTGTATGCGCACACAGTGTTCAGTTTGACCCAAACTAAGAATCCTCTTTGGGGGAGCATGTTTTTGGCGGGGAGCATAAGGGTCTCCAAATGCACGTGTTCTCTCCACGTCTCCTTGTATGGGACCTAGCATGATTCGTTTTTTCACTTCTTTTTGTTATGTTTCCAAGTGCTTTGTTGCACTTTCGTTTCTTCTTTGTAAGCCACGTGGGGCATTTAAAATAACAATGGAATAAAATTCCTCTCACAGAGCTACAATCCCCAACACCCTTAACAAATGACAGTTCCTAGGATTCTCTGGCGGAAGCAATTTGCTTTACAAAGGTATGGTGTGTATATAGCGTTCCATGATGGTTATCCCTCTGAAAATGTCAGCACGTTACAGTCAAAGAACCTCCCTGGTGCACCTGCACCAGCGAAACCGGACGCCTTCATCTGCCCCGGCTGCAACAAACACGTCTCCCCTAAATTGGTCTGTACAGCACAGCTGGTGTTGTAACTCTCCAACAGTTTGCCTTCACCCCCGATGGCAAACTCCAGAGACAAACGGATACCAACAACAGCCAAAAGGTGCTTGGAAATAAATGACCACAAGATGGCAGCAGTTTCCTGTGAGAAGCCCTGATCCTACATGACTCCTCTGTTAAAAGTGTCTGTGCTGAACTCCACCAGTGGTGGTTGTTGGATGGTCAGCTTCCATGAGAAGTGGTGAGTGTGCTCTCAGACTAACATCTTCCCACACCCACTTCCTGGTGGAAAGAAAACCCACATCCTCTTTTAATCTGCTGTTTGTGCATACAGTGGTACCTCGGGTTAAGAACTTAATTCGTTCTGGAGGTCCGTTCTTAACCTGAAACTGTTCTTAACCTGAGGTACCACTTTAGCTAATGGAGCCTCCTGCTGCTGCCGTGCCACCGCTGCACGATTTCTGTTTTCATCCTGAAGCAAAGTTCTTAACCCGAGGTACTATTTCTGGGTTAGCGGAGTCTGCAACCTGAAGCGTCTGTAACCTGAGGTACCACTGTATTCTGGAATGCACACATTGGTTTGCTTCCTTTCTTATGTGTCATTAGTCCATAGGTCATCATCCCACAATATATGAAACCAGGAAAAGTACCATAGTGGATCCAAGATGTTCTTACCTCTATGTACATTTGACCTCTGTGTACAAGTCTTTCAGACCCCTGCTACCCCTTGGATTTCATGGAGTTTTGGCTCCAATCTTTGTACACACGAACACACACACACCCCACACCAATCTAGCATCTTTCTTTGCCATACTGCTCAACAATAGCATTTCAAGCCCCTGCTGAAGTCAGCTCTAGTCCTCAAAAAGCTTATGCCACAATAAACGTCTTCACATTGAAGGTACCACAAATCTCTTGTGTTGCTTTGACACCATCAAATTAACCTGGCAAGTCCTTTGGAGTGGATTCAAAGTTCTGGTTAGTCAGGTTCCACTGCAACCCAGTGTACCATCCACGAGTGAGTTGTTTTCAAATCCACACCAGAGCTCAACCAATAGCAGTTTCTCATCCCTTCCATTGAATTAATGGCCCTAGATTTTGAAGGGCATTCTGGTTATGGTTGTGGGAAGCAAGACATAAATTCAACAGACCTAGACTTATTTTGTGGCCTT